CCTCCCCAAACAGCCAACCTATTTTCTCCAATTCTTTATTTTAAATTATTCAAGATAAACAAGAGGGCCATGATGGCCCTGAGGTCGCTCACCTGTATATAGCCCCCCCCCCCCCCCCAATTTTTACCCAAGGGCTTTTATTTGTTTATTTGAACAGACTTGGTAGACACCCATAAGAAGATGTTTCATGCAAAACATCTAAGTTCTAGCTCATTGGGTTTTTTAAAAGAAGATTTTTTAAGTTTTTACTATACACATATAGTTAAAAACAATGACACCCCTCGGGCAGGGCCAGTTTTGACCCCTGGGCTTTTATTTGAACAAACTTTGTAGATATTTACTTAAAGATGTTTCATGCTTAATATCTAAACTCTAGTTATTTGGGTTTTTTCAAAGAAGATTGTTAAGTTTTTGCTATGTATATAAGGAAAATCAATGACCCCCGGGGCGGGGCCAGTTTTGACCCCAGGGCTTTTATTTGAACATACTTGGTAGACACCCATTAGAACTTGTCTCATGCTAAATATCTTAGCTCTTGCTCTTTGGGTTCTTTAAAAGAAGATTTTTTAAGTTTTTACTATATGCATATAAGGAAAATCAATGACCCCCTGGGGCGGGGCCAATTTTGACCCCAGGGCTTTTATTTGAAAAAACTTGGTAGACATTCACTAGAAGATGTTTCATGCCAAATATCTAAGCTCTAGCTCTTACGGTTCTTTAAAAAAAGATTTTTTAAGTTTTTACTATATGCATATAGGGAAAATCAATGACCCCCCGGGCGGGGCCAATTTTGACCCCAGGGCTTTTATTTGAACAAACTTGGTAGACATTCACTAGAAGATGTTTCATGCCAAATATCTTAGCTCTAGCTCTTTGGGTTCTTTAAAAGAAGATTTTTTAAGTTTTTACTTTATGCATATAGGGAAAATCAATGACCCCCTGGGGCGGGCCAATTTGGACCCCAAGGCTTTTATTTGAACGAACTTGGTAGACATTCACTAGAAGATGTTTCATGCCAAATATCTAAGCTCTAGCTCTTACTGTTCTTTAAAAGAAGATTTTTTAAGTTTTTACTATATGCATATAGGGAAAATCAATGACCCCCTGGGGCGGGGCCAATTTTGACCCCAGGGCTTTTATTTGAACAAACTTGGTAGACATTCACTAGAAGATGTTTTATGCCAAATATCTAAGCTCTAGCTCTTACGGTTCTTTAAAAGAAGATTTTTTAAGTTTTTACTATATGCATATAGGGAAAATCAATTACCCCCCAGGGCGGGGCCAGTTTTGACCCCAGGGCTTTTATTTGAACAAACTTGGTAGACATTCACTAGAAGATGTTTCATGCCAAATATCTTAGCTCTAGCTTTTTGGGTTCTTTAAAAGAAGATTTTTAAGTTTTTACTATATGCATATAGGGAAAATCAATGACCCCCAGGGGCGGGGCCAATTTTGACCCCAGGGCTTTTATTTGAACAAACTTGGTAGACATTCACTAGAAGATGTTTCATGCCAAATATCTATGCTCTAGCTCTTACAGTTCTTTAAAAGAAGATTTTTTAAGTTTTTACTATATGCATATAGGGAAAATCAATGACCCCCCGGGGCGGGGCCAATTTTGACCCCAGGGCTTTTATTTGAACAAACTTGGTAGACACTCACTAGAAGATGTTCCATGCCAAATATCTTAGCTCTAGCTCTTACAGTTCTTTAAAAGAAGATTTTTTAAGTTTTTACTATATGCATATAGGGAAAATCAATGACCCCCCGGGGCGGGGCCAATTTTGACCCCAGGGCTTTTATTTGAACAAACTTGGTAGACACTCATTAGAAGATGTTTCATGCCAAATATCTAAGCTCTAGCTCTTAGGGTTGTTTAAAAGAAGATATTTAAAGATTTTTCTTTCGGTTGCCATGGCAACCAGAGTTCTGCATGGAATTAAATTCTTTGAACAATTTTTAAAGGTGACCACCAAAGGAACATTCCTGTGAAGTTTGGATGAAATTGGCTCAGTGGTTTATGAGGAGATGTCATTTAAAGCAAAAGTTTACGGACGGACGACGGACGGACGGACGGACGGACGGACGCCGGACGAAAAGCGATCACAAAAGCTCACCCTGTCACTTTGTGACAGGTGAGCTAAAAATACATGAATATTAGTGAGCAATTGTCATAAGCTACTTGTTTACTTTCAACAAGTATGAGTACATTTATCCTAAATGTAAAGTATTTGATAGTACATGTCATGCTAAAAGATGTTTCATTCTCTTAAAAATACAAAGCAGTGTTATCAATGGAGGATTGACTAAAACAGGCCTGCATTTTAATACAAGAACATGGCAATGCCACGAAACCAGGTTTTCAATTATCACCATTGTAGATAAATATGTTGTTGTTGAAATACAAATACAAGCAACAAACAATGTAACTATATGCAATGTAAATCATGATTAATGAATTTTCTATTTTTAGTAACTGTAAACTTGACCCTAGGAGGCCAAGCCATCCCAAGTGAGGTCTTCAAAATAACTTGCTTTACCACAAATTTCATAAAAATATCTTATTCCAAACAAGTTATTGACCGGAAACCTATTTTCTATTTTTAGTAACAGTGACCTGACTAGAAACAGATTTTCTATTTTTAGCAACAATGACCTTGACCTTGACTCTACAGGACCCAAAAGCAGGCAGATGAGCTGGCAGGCATGCAACAACCTAGATAGTTTCTGTTCTATAACTAAATAAAAATTGTTGTGATTATATTACACTAATAATTAAATTTTATGGAAAAACAAAGGGCCATAATAAGGTAAAAGGTAAAAACTTATCCAATCATAAAACCCTGACAATACACAGCAGGGAACTTGAAGATAAAGCTAATATGTGAAAATTTGAATAAAATCCTTTGAGAAATATAGAAGCAGTTGGGCAACAGAAGAAATTGTTCACTATATACTCTATATAAGGAAAAAAAACAAAGGGCCATAATTAGGTAAAAAATAATCCAATCACAAAACCCCAACAGTATGCCTCAGGACACTTGATGACAAAGTTTCTGTGAAAGTTTGAACAAAATCCTTTGAGAAATGTAGGAGGAGTTGCACACTGAAGAAATTGTTCACTATATATTCTGTATAAGGTAAAAAAACAAAGGGCAATAATTAGGTCAAAAATTATCCAATCACAAAACCCCAACAGTATGCCTCAGGACACTTCATGACAAAGCTTCTGTGAAAGTTTGAACAAAATCCTTTGAGAAATTTAGGAGAAGTTGCGCACAGAAGAAATTGTTCACTATGTATTCTATATAAGGGAAAAAAACAAAGGGCCATAATTAGGTCAATTGTTATCCAATCACAAAACCCTGACAATATGCACCAGGGCACTTGATGACAAAGCTTCTGTGAAAGTTTGGTCAAAATACGTTGAGAAATGTAGGAGGAGTTGCGCACAGAAGAAATTGTTTACGCCCGCCCGTCCGCCCGCCCGCCGACATACCTCAATCTAATAACCAGATTTTTCCTTCGGAAAACCTGGTTAAAAATATATGATAGTAATCAATAGAAACTGGTGTTAAACAAGAAACAATAAGACAGGTAATGAAGTGGCTACAGAAAAAGCAAAATGCAGTAAAAGCTAATAATACTACTAATAAACTAGCTATGGCAGTTAGTATCTCAAAGTTATGGTTTAATGCATGTGTGCAAAAACACAACATGGCACTAAAATGATTGGTACTTAATTGAAGTCCACTTAGTGTTTTCTCAAGTTTCTCAATATCTTTTTACTGGATTCTTTTATTACTTTTCTTTGACCTTGACCCTGAAGGCATTGCACTTGGCATTTGACTTCACAAGCAAGTCCATTTTCATCTTTTTCCAGCCTCTTGAGCAGATTATCAGCCTCTTTCACAGAACAAACCACAAACAGCCCAGGAGGCAAGGGATGCTTAAACTCCTTTAAGCTTCTTTCTTAAAAAGATAGTTACTGTTAATGACAAAATCTTCAGGCAGAAGCATAATCAGAATATAAAAATAAAACAGATGCTCATAATCAAAAATAACAATAAAGATACCCAAAATAATGGAAGAAACTGCCTTAGCTTTTACTGATTTTGCTTCTTGCTGTTTGACAAACATTATTTTCTACAAAATTCCCTGACTTTTGCTTATTTTTCAAATTTCCCTGACCAATTTCAAAATTCCCTGACCTTGAAAAACTCATTTTTCCCTGACTTTTCACTGACCGTGGGAACCCTGTTTTTGAGTTACATGCAACACAAGTTAAATATTGTAAATTTTTACTACGTCAAGGGCAATAACTCTAAAAATATCCGCATGAAAATATTCAGGTGCACAACTACACATGCTGAGCAACATTCCAGTAAGGTTTCATGACTCTAGGTAAAATATTTTTTGAGTTCCATGTGACACAAGTTGAAAATTTTTACTAAGTTAAGGGCAATAACTCTTAAAATATCCACATGAAAATACCCAGGTGCACAATTACAAATGATGAGCAACATTCTTGCAAGGTTTCAAGACTCTAGGTCATATACTTTTTTAGTTACATGCGACACAAGTTGAAAATTTTTATTAAGTCAAGGGCAATAACTCTAACAATACTAAACATATCCACACAAAAATACCCAGGTGCACAACTACACATGCTGAGCAACATTCCTGTAAGGTTTCATGACTCTAGGTCAAATATTTTTTGAGTTACGTGCGACACAAGTTGAAAAATGCAAATTTTTTCTAAGTCAAGGGCAATAACTCTAAAAATACTACATATTTCCACACAAAAATACCCAGGTGCACAACTTCACATGCTGATCAACCTTCCTGTAAGGTTTCATGACTCTAGGTCAATTACTTTTTGAACTACATGCGACACAAAAAGGGAACGGACAGACGGACAAGGGTAAATCTAAATCCCCCCCCCCCCAATAGTGGGAGCACAAAAAATGTATACTCTAAAACACAAATTAACAAGTGTACTTCTTTCATCATTTTAATTAGAAAACCATAGTTTACAATAGTTTTGCCTCAGTGAGTCAGCAATGAACATGTATATAAATACAGAAACAGAGAGCCTCCCACTGGAGCCACAACATATTCCAACAACATAACAATAATAATAGCACATTGAACAATAAATGAATGATGGTTGTAAATGATTTATCTATAAAAAAAAATACAGAAAATAATTTGTCAATCATACCATGATGCCTGGTTACTGTGCCGTAACTTTACAATCAATGCACTGTAAAGTAATTTCTTACACTTTTACATAGTCCTTTTATATTTATCATTGCGTGCACTACTCCTGATTTTCAAAATGAAGAGAAATATTCTCAATATATTTTGACATATTTGTATGGTCACTTTCTCGCTACATACTTACCTCTCCTAAATTTCTCTGAGAATTTTAACATTTTCTAGAATAAACATGTAACTTTATATCAATAAACCAATAAAGTGAAGTGTTGAACATCAATGAATACGTTGAACCACTTGTCTTTAAAAATATTGGCGACCCATCACACACGTTTGGAATAATCCTTGTTTGTATGGTACTTTTTCAAGGTCAACTGTGAAAGAACCTTGTCAGAAGCCAATTTCTAGTTAAAAATCATACTTCAATTAACTGTCGTAAAAAACCTAACAATTCAGTTAAGCTTTGCTAGAGAAAAATTTTTAAACCCATATCCCCCAACATTTTAGGTGTAGTTAAAACAACAAACAGCCGACGATTGTTTTTACAAATACACTCATATCCACCTAGGAAGAAAAACAAGCCAGGTAGATAAAATGCTAATCTTCCAAGAAAACGAGAAATAGTTTGTGTTTTCAAGAGTAAATTTGCATCAACTGTTGTTAGAAATATTGCAAAAAAAAAATCAGCTACAATTATAAGCCGATTCTAATTATAGAAAATCTTAGCCTTCAGAATCTTGTCTTTGCGCATTTTCTGAAACATAATTTTGAAATAAAAGAAATTTTTGAGTTTTAATGGCGCCTCCTTCTTAGCATTAATTTCAAACCAATCAGTAATGAATAAAATTAAATTATAAGCCACAATATGATTCAAAACCGCCTAATGTTGTTCTAAAAGTCATTATTTATAAATACCATGACAATACTAAACTGCTTAAAAGCCATCTAAATTGAGGGTCCCAAAAAAATGACTTCTACATCAAGGGCATGATGTACCACAAATCATTTACCTATATCAGTTACAGCTGTCTCAGACCAAGCCCTTGACAATGTCATTAATGTCACTAATGAAATAATGCATGAAATTTTAATGAAATAATGAGTGACTTTGACACATGACACATAGCCTTATTCATATCCCTTTGCTTGAACTTTTGCGATGATTCTTTCCAATTGTCTCTTTGCCTCGCAATGTGGGAAGTTAGACATATCATAGTACTGGGGGGCAATCTGTACCATCCTGTAATATAAATGTACATACACAATACAGTAAAAGTTTTAAAAAGTTCAACTTCATTATTACCTGTAGCATAGGTAATTTCAATCTCCAATTTGGTTTTCCTTTAAGGTGGTATTATGCTCATTTATTCATTGTCAAGGTGAGTTGAAAAGATTGACTGTTATAATGGTGATTTACCAAAAGTTGATATATTGGAAAATGTTCAGAATAAAATATAAATCGGCCTAAAATATAATAAGATTGCCCTACTCTTTTTATAAATTGGGCATTACATGTAATTTCCTATGGACATTTATTAAAAATGTTCTCGGTCATACGAGTTATATAGCATTCAAGCCAAGTAAATTATAGAATTAATAGGAATTATGGTAAAATGTAAACTTATTTTGGCTTTTCCCTGTTCACTCACTTATAATATACCCTTGGGTAGGCATACTGTCACTTTAAATGGTTTTTAAGTAGTACAGAAAATGAAAACGTGCTTCTCTGCTAAAGCTCCGTCATACAATATTACTGGTGCAAGCCAGTATCTGTCTGGACATATCTTTCACTATTATAAGCTTTTTTTCATATAAGGAGGTAGTTTAGGCAATGCTTATAATAAAGGCAATGTTAAACTAGAACTCCGCGAGTAGGATGTGTCGCCTTGTGAACAAAGTAGTTTAGGGGAAATGGCCAGGACAAAAATGAAATATGAAAAATAACAAAGGGCAATAACTAAAAAATAATATGTGCAGAGCAGCAGTTTCTGTACACTGCACTTCTTATCAAATTGTATGATGTTTCCTGTCCATAGCTTTCATACTTGAGGAGAAATGACCAGGACAAAAATAAAGTAAGAAAATCAACAGAGGGCAATAACTCAAAAATAAGAAATGCAGAGTATCAGTTCTTATGCACTGCTCTTTTTTTAATGAGATCTATCATCCTATGAAGTTTCAAGTCCATAACTTTTATACTTTCGGAGAAATGGCCTGGACAAAAATTAAGTATGAAAATTAACAAAGGGCCATAACTCAAAAATTAAGAAATGCAGAGTACAGATTCTTGTGCACTGCACTTCTTAATAATGAGATCTATCATCCTATGAAGTTTCAAGTCCATAGCTTTTATACCTAAGGAGAAATGGCCCGGACAAATTTAAAATATGAAAATAAACAAAGGGCAATAACTCAAAAAATAAGAAATGCAGAGTACCAGTTCTTGTGCACTGCACTTCTTCTTAATGAGACCTATCATCCTATGAAGTTTCAAGTCCATGGCTTTTATACATTAGGAGAAATGGCCCGGACAAAAAAGTATGAAAATTAACAAAGGGCAATAACTCAAAAATTAGGAAGTGCAGAGTACTGGTTCTTGTGCACTGCATTTCTTCTTAATGAGATCTATCATCCTATGAAGTTTCAAGTCCATAGCTTTTTTAGTTGAAGAGAAATGGCCCGGACAAAATTAAAGTATAAAAATTAACAAAGGGCAATAACTCCAAAAATAAGAACTGCAGAGTACCGGTCCTTGTGCACTGCACTTCGGGTTATTGAAAGAAGCATGCATACCCAGTTTGAAGTCAATCAGACTTATAGTGACTGAGTTATGCTCCGGACAAGCTTTAGGGGACGCCGACAACGACGTTGACACAGACGCCGCCGCCGCCGACAAAAGTAACCCCTATATGTCACCTTTTCAAGGCGACACAAAAATGATAACAATTTACATGTGAAATACATATAGATTCTAAATCATTCAACTTATACCAAAGCACGCTGATTTTACATCTTCTTTAAAAGGTTACCAACTAAACCTTTCCGATACTCTCTTCACTGACAATGTGTTATCTAGCCTAAGTGGTATAGACCTATCTTTATTACTGATAACAAAGGATTTACAACTTAAATAGATAAAGTTGAACATACCATTCTGGTTTAACATCTGTCACTGTTCTGATATAATTCTTCGTGGTCAACACAAACTCATTGTAAAGAACCCACTCTGGTTTGTGGTCGAGACATGTAGATGGATGGAGCTGCACAATCTGGTTGTCCTTTACTGTCAAATAGTGTCCTGTCCTCTCCAAATGGGCAACCTGGAAAATATAGTTGAGAAATTTAATTTTCACAGAATATCATGCTTAAAATAGTAGCTTAAAGAAGTATGCTTAAAAAAGTATAAATACCTCCAGATTCAGCCTAAGGCACTCACTATCAACAAAAATTTTCTTTGTCAAAATATACAGAATTATCTTTTACTCCACTAGTTACCGAGTCGACATTGGTAACTAGAACTATCGCTGAATGCGATTCATACCCCCACCAATGTCCTTGACAGAGGAGGACTTGGAAAGGTGGTTAAGGCAATAACTTGTGTGGCACAAATACATAAAAAGAAATTATCTCTGGTGAAAAAAAGACTAATAGTACAGGTAATAGTATAAATATATTATCAAATCATGTTCGAAACAGTTACAAAAAACCTTTCATTTTCCCTATGTACTAAACATTTTATTTTTAAGTCAATTTTTGACCTTCAAGTGTGGCCTTGACCTTAATCTGGCACACGAGTAACATGGGTTTTGCATATCGCCCAGTTGGGGTGAACATTTGAGTAAAGTTTGAAGAAAATCCTTCCAGTAGTATAGAATTTATAGAGCGGACACAAAATACTGTCTAGTATTGATTGTATGTAAATTTGAAGACTTAAAAAGGGGCATAACTTTGTCAAAATGCAATACAGAGTAATGAAACTTGACCTGCATATCTTATTTGCGACATCTCATATATCTTAAAGTTTCAAGCAAATACCTGTGCTAGTTTCAGAATTATTCAAGTACATGTTAAAATTTAAGAACATTTTCTAAGTCAATTATTGACCTTCAAGTGTGACCTTGACCTTTAGAAGGCACAAAGGTGACATGGATTCTGCACATAACCTTGTTGAGGTGAACATTTGAGTAAAGTTTGAAGAAAATTCTTCCATTAGTATCGGATTTATAGAGCTGACACGACATATTGTCTTATATTTGATTGTATGTAAATTTGAAGACTTAAAAGGGGGCATAACTTTGTTAAAATGCAATACAGAATTATGAAACTTGACCAGCATATCTTAATTGTGACACTTCATATACATTTTAAGTTTCAAGCAAATACCTTTTCTAGATTCAGAAATATTCAAATAAATATTAAAATTTAAGAATATTTTCTAAGTCAATTTTTGACCTTCAAGTGTGACCTTGACATCCTCTTGTTGAGGTGAACATTTGAGCCAAGATTGAAGAAAATCTTTCAATTAGTGTAGGACTTACAGAGCGGACACGACATACAGTGTAATATTTGATTGTTTGATATTTGACCTTCAATTGTGACCTTGACCTTGAGCTGACACATGGGTAACATCCGTTCTGCACATCCCCTTGTTGAGGTGAACATTTGAGCCAAGTTTGAAGAAAATCCTATAATTAGTGTAGGACTTACAGAGCGGACACGACATACAGTGTAATATTTGATTGTTTGATATTTGACCTTCAATTGTGACCTTGACCTTGAGCTGACACATGGGCAACATGGGTTCTGCACATCCCCTTGTTGAGGTGAACATTTGAGCCAAGTTTGAAGAAAATCCTTCAATTAGTGTAGGACTTACAGAGCGGACACGACATACTGTGTAATATTTGATTGTTTGATATTTGACCTTCAATTGTGACCTTGACCTTCAGCTGACACATGGGCAACATGGGTTCTGCACATCCTCTTGTTGAGGTGAACATTTGAGCCAAGTTTGAAGAAAATCTTTCAATTAGTGTAGGACTTACAGAGCGGACACGACATACTGTCTAATATTTGATTGTTTGATATTTGACCTTCAATTGTGACCTTGACCTTGAGCTGACACATGGGCAACATGGGTTCTGCACATCCCCTTGTTGAGGTGAACATTTGAGCCAAGTTTGAAGAAAATCCTTCAATTGGTATGGGAGTTATAGAGCGGACACGAAAATGGAGACGGACGGACCGACAGACGGACGGACCGACCGACGCGACAAAGCGAATCCATTATAGCCCCCCCCCACATTTTGTGGTGGGGGTATAATAAAATTATACAATTCCTCATACTTTGCATTATACATTCAAAATTTCACCTTGAAAATCACCTCACAACTAAGAATATATGTGTACTGCATTGTTACCTTAAAACATCTTGTTTAAATTACCTCCCTTTATGGAATTGAGAACTCATTTTGCACAACATTCAAAATAACTGTTTTTCAAGATTTTATCAACATTCGAAGTTATCTAATTCATCAATTTCCATGTAAATCCCAAAATCATTAATAAAGTAAGCAATAATGTATCATGTTTTCATTATCATGTATTAGAATCCTAAAATTACTAAAGATTACTAAAACATGTAACCTATGAACCAGTTTTCCATTGTGTGTGAAAATGTTGCATTTCAAAATATATGATTTATTCCAAATTTATATGCAACAATTCCAAGTTAATATGGGCTTCTTTGGTAACTTTAGTAAACACAAGTCTAATCCAGTCGTAGAGAAGCCCTTCGTATTCATTTTTCTCGACTCTTCTATAACTTTCAATAATTTTATATTGTACAGAAGAAAAGCAAATTGTTATTAACTGACAAGAGCTCTGATTCACAAAACAGGTTAAATGACACAAAGAAAATCAATTATTCTTTCATATCAACTGTCGTTTCCATTAGTTTAATCCATGCCAGAAATTTTATTGACTATGGGGGGAGTCAGATGAGTTGCATGCTGTACAATGGCACACTAAGGATGCTGTAATTTTAACGTTATGAATGAAGTTGTTATTTCATGTATACACTGTATTACGGGTCTAATGACATTAAGTTCAATGGAAAATTGTTTTATTAAGGTAAAGGGTTTTAAATATAATAATAATGGAATATGGTAGAATATACATGCTTGTGGTTCGGATCGGAATATCCAAGATGAACCGCAACATATGACAGATATTATTAATATGGAGGGGGGAAAAATAAACATCCGCATTTGCACCATAACAATTACTCTTCATATATAAATGACAAGTTAATACAGCTGTATGAGCAAATGATAAATCAAAATAAACATTTTGAAAAATGATTCATTTATTTCAAGATTGCTTTAAGCTTCTTTGGTAACTTCAGAAAATATTGATTAAATGAAGACGTAGAGAAGCTATCCAAGTTGATACAAGATAGACATCATATCTAAACTTTTCTTAAGACATACCAGTAATTAGGCAACGACAATACTTTTTTGTCGCACCCCTGACATCATTATGAATATTATATTATATAAATTCTTTTTGACAAAAGATGAAGAAGGAAAGCATAAATGTAAGCTGTTATATATTCAAAAATAATATCTTAAAGTAAGTATAGTAACACGAGGACAGAATTATACAATGAGAGCTAAAGTTAAGGATTTGTGATTTATTCCATTTCAAAAGTGATGGTAAACCCCTTAAAAAAAGGCTTTATGTCACTCATGATAACTGTACAAACAACTATGAATCAAAATAATCACATTTTGATTTACAAAGTAGTTCTTTAATATTGCTTTCAGCTTCTTCGGTAACTCCAGAAAATATTGACTTAATGAAGGCGTAGAGAAGCTGTAGGTAATGCTATAATGAAAACATACATAAACATACATGTATCGATAGATTTCGTAATTGTTGATTTCAAGTAAATTAAGATATACTTTTAAGCATTATTCTAGGATTTTTTTTTAGATTTTTAAGTACTTAATGAAGGTGATACTGGAAATAGAATACACAAAATTCTACTTTGATATTTTCAGGCAGTGAATCATATGGAATTGATTACAGCTATATGAAACTCATTACAAAGTTGTATGTAATCCATAACAGTTAAATGAAATTTTTTTCGCTTACATAATAGCTGATATTTGGTTATATTCCCAAATGAAAATAGTATATTATTTTCCCAATCCACAGGAAAAAATTCCCAATTAAAAGTTACAAAATACAAATATTGAATAGTAAAAAATTCTAAAATCTTGAAAGATAGGGCTTCTTCACTGTTATAGTGCTTAAATGTTTGAAGATGCCATCCTAGATAGTTGAATGTTTGCATTCATTTAATAACTGCAAAATTTCAATCATGCAGTTTTTCCCTATTTTTAACAAAAATCACTGAAATTCCCAATTCCATGGGTATAGGTCATGTTCTGAAAATCCTGGAAAAAAATCCTGAAACTCATTACAAAGTTGTCAGAAACTCATTACATAAATATATTAACAACAATAAATCAAAACAAACATTTTGACAGATTATAGTGTTATTCAAATTTGATTTTTGCTTCTTCAGTAACTCCAGAAAATCAAGACTTAATGGAGGCGTAGAGAAGCAATTATTAAATTGAGCCTCTAATTCAAGCCTTGTACATACTACATACATCTAGTATCTACCCTTCAGAATTTATTTTTTTCTACCTAAAATTTGAATATATCTGTACTTAAGCAAGTGAAAGATTGAACAAACATATAACTTTTTATACATATCCAGAAAACATACAACATCACTTATGCTAACAGTTTTTGCACTTTTGATAAACTAGACTTCAAAATTATAATTTTTTTATAAATATTCACCTGCATGAAGAAACCGGACACCAAAGCTTTACGTATATTCAGGTAGTAATCGCGACTGGTGAACTCTGTACTGCTTCTCTTCAAGTTGAACCGGTCCATGATCCTCGCCAACTGTTGACGTACATTGTCCGCACTCTTCAATGATCGGAAGTTTATAAAGTTGTCGTAACACCACTGCGGATCTTCTTGGTCTGTAAACAGATATACAAAATTGTGGTGATATCATGTATACAACCAAATCTAATATTAAATAAGGCATAGGTTGCGGGAATAGAAGGTTATGGTATTACATCACAATATCATAAATGTCATAAATTTGGTTCTTTCCTGATTTACTTAAGCATAAACATTGGGCACCTCTTTATACAGACCGCAAATTTCCACTTGGGTTATTCAGAAACCGTGAATCCCTGGAAAATACACTACACAGTTGTATACAGTCTTTCAGACTAAATTTCAGGCACAGCAAGCAAAGGAATAGAAACACCAACCTAATGCCAGTTACCCTGATAGTCTTTTCAAATTAAAGAATTATAGCAAGTAAATATGACATACAGCACAAGGTTCTGTCTATATCATGTGCAAAAATCTTGTACTAATCACTTTTACATGTTAAACACATTTCTAAAAGGTTTACCCTATATAAACATGCCTCAGAACGAATAAAAAACTAGAAATGTGTCATCATGCCACGGATGCCCCCGCATGCAGCCAAAATTTCAGATGGTGCATTAATTATTTTTTTTCATTTTAAGTTCAAAGCCCTTAAAACTTTCCAATGTTAACACAAACCATTTTCATACAATGTTCAAGGCACTGAAATTATTCAGTCTAAACCTTTTAAAAATAGCACATTGCATATTTGTAGCCAAAATAATGGCTAAAAGTAAGAGTGCTGAAAGTGAAAGTTCAAAATTTTTCCAACATTCAGGAAAGATAAGTTTGTCTTAAATCATTGAACTACAACCAAATTCAAACTTAAACTGCTTATTCCTAAGATGTATCTATATTATTTTCAAAGTGAAAGGGACATAACTCTGCCAAAAAATCATCAAACCATGACCAAATTCCAACTTGACCTGCCCATTCCTTTGACATATCCATATGTCAAATTTAAGTTGAATATGTAACACTGTTGGGTAGATAATGAACAGAAACTGTAAATTTCATATTATTTTCAAAGTGAAAGGGGCATTACTCTGCCAAAAATCATTGAACCATGACCAAACTCGAACTTGGCCTGGGCATTCCAAAAACATATCTATATGTCAAATTTGAGTTGAATGTGTTGTACCATTGGGGTTAATAAAAGGAAACTGAAAATTTCATATTACTTTCAAAGTGAAAGGGGCATAACTCTGCCAAAAATCATTGAACCATGACCAAATTTGAACTTGACTTGCACATTCCTTTGACACATCCATATGTCAAGTTTGAGTTGAATGTGTTGTACCTTTGGGGAGATAATGAACGGAAACTGAAAATTTCATATTATTTTCAAAGTAAAAGGGGCATAACTCTGCCAAAAATCATCGAACCATGACCAAATTCGAACTTGACCTGTATTTTCTCATGACATATCCATATGTCAAGTTTGAGTTGAATGTGTTGTACCGTTGGGGAGATAATGAACGGAAACTGAAAATTTCATATTATTTTGAAAGTAAAAGGGGCATAACTCTGCCAAAAATCATCGAACCATGACCAAATTCGAACTTGACCTGTATTTTCTCATGACATATCCATATGTCAAATTTGAGTTGAATGTGTGCAACCGTTCTTAAGATAATGAACGGAAACTGATGATGACGGAATGACGGAAGGACGGAATGACAGAACAGGGTAACACTATATGCCCCGGCCATTACATGGCGGGGGCATAAAAATAAGTTTTTTGTCATATACAGTTATTTTAATTAATGATAAATTACTGTAATTCACATCATTTTTGAGTTCTACACCTTGAAGCTATCAACTAGTATTTTCATGGCCCTATGTTTATTGCATCACAATTACCGGTAAGTACAACATGCTAAAATTGGAAATTACATTAATAGGTACTTACTCTGTTTGAAGGCGTGGTAAACGTTAAGCAGTGTCAGATGATCACCGTCTATGTGGGCAAACCTCATCTTGCATTCATCAGCTGCCTTCCGTAGCTCCGTAGGACGCACAAAACACTGCGGGACTAAGAAGTGTTGGGTCGGGGCCCAAATGGACCCATTCCCCTCTCCATTAGATCTCAAATGTATATGAAAACTAAAAAGAGCTAATCTATCAGACAGTGAACTTGGTGGTGCCCTAACCTATCCTAAATCACTTGTAAAAATCATCAACTAACATTACATCTAAAATATTTCACGAAAATAACTTAAAGCCCACCAGTCACTGTCTGAACTATCTTTTGCAAGTTTTTTAACCAAAATAATTCAAGATCATAATCAACTTAAAATTTCACAATGAAGCAATAATAAATGATTATTTTATCACCAATTGTATCAGTGTAACCATTACGAGTATATTTCAGAATATCGCAGGGATAAAAATACGAGCCGCACACGCATAAAATGAGATTATACCTGATAACATGGCAGTTATAGAAAGGATCTCGTTCGAGCAGTTAAAGTCTGTACTAGCTATGACCATCTTAGCCTGCTGTGGATCAAGTGGGAACTCGGCCATCATAGACCCCAATTCCGTCAAGTCACCATTGTCATCGAGTGCCGCCAAATAGTTCAGCAACTCAAGAGCTCTCATCAGGGTTTCCGGAGCTGTGAAAAATAAACATGATTTTCAATAAAAACATGCACAGCTAAGGTCATTCTATTATGTTACAGTTTTATAGGTGAAGTAAAACCTCAGATTCTTGTCCATTAATTATTTTAGGCCCAGATTTCCATCAGAACAGTATCGTGGAAAACATTTGTTTTCTTCTTCTCAATTCCTTTTTTATATACAAGCATAATACTTAAATTTTAGAATAAAGCTGCATAAATCTCTATATCATATAAGAAGTATAGCTAACCTGGGGGATCCATGAAATCAAAATGCACAAGATCATCAATTCCTAATTTCTTCAACTGTAATACAACAGAACCAAGATTTGATCTCAATATTTCAGGATATGTGTTTTCTTGCATCTCTTGCTTAAACGCTTTTTCTGTATAAAGTCTAAAACATTTTCCTGGTTTTGTTCTCCCGGCACGACCTGCCCTCTGCTGTGCACTTGCCTTACTAATGGCAGTCACCAATAACGACTCAACTCGAATTCTAGGGTTGTACACCTAAAAATAAATATAAATCTAAATGAATTTTCCTGAATCATGAAAGCAAGATGGCCATGATGGCCCTTATATCTCTCATCTGATAATTGAGGCTCTAAATTAATATTCTTAGCAATGAATGAAAGACTGATATAATGCAATACCCTTAATATCCTGACTGACAACAGGCAATTTTTTTTTTATCACAAAAGATAACCTTGAGCACTTTGTGCTCAGGTGAGCTAAAAAAAAACAACCCGGAATTGGCACCATACAACAAAATATTATAATCAAGCTGTTTGTCATTTTTTCAGACCTTTTGAGTACGATTTCACATCAAACTTTACTAGTTTATCTTCTGAAAAGTAAACAAATGTCAGAAATATATCCATAGCAATGCAACAATTAAGGTTCACATCACTTCTACTAAAGTCTATTTTTTAATATAGGCAACCTGAAATTCCAGCCAATGATATAAATCATACTGGTAACCAAAGGTTGCCTTCAAAAACCTAATATGACTGAAGACATTTTCATCTAGTCTAAAAGTGGATGTCCAATGGACATATTTTTGCAATAGTATTTTAAATATTGATAAAAACAATAGAAATGTATCATTTGGATTTTCTTAAAAAAATTGATTAAGTTCTAAGTGCTTGATTATCTTATCATTACTATGTGAACATGTTCCATTGGCCCAGTATAAATCTAAATTAATTTTTTTTTGTGGGGATTGATTACTTGGCAAATATGATATCTAAAGCTTATAAAATTGAGATTTTTTTCAGTAAACATTTGGAAAAAAAGTATGTATTTCAATTGGGAAAGGGTCCATTGACCCAATTAAAGAAGGGAAAAAATGCTGAATTTAGGGAATATTACACTACCACTTCACTCATATCACAAAATCTTTGTATGTCATTGTGTAAGATTAAATGTCAGAAATATGTCCATAGCAATGCAACATTAAAATCACATCACTTCTACTGAAGTCTAATTTCAATATTGGCAATCAGAAATTCCAGCCAATGAAATAAATCATACTGGTAACCAAAGATTGCCTTTAAAATGACTAAAGATATTTCAATCTATTTTTCATCCTATAAACTATAAAATACAAGTGCAGTCAATGAATTTAAGATTTTGAAATTACTAGCCGTAATTCCAGTTTTGAATTTATTCTACTATACATTTAACTAAATTTTCTTAAAATTTTCACTGGCCATGGTCCACCCAGCCAGTGCTAAATTCCATGACTGCAAGTGGCATGGAAAAGCAAGAACTCAAAATTGATTAAATGACCAAATATTTTCTATTATGTAAATAATGGTCCTTGAAAAGTTGTTCAAACCTAATTAATTTGCAACCTTATTAATAACCTTATTTTCATTTTGTCATTTGAGAATGAACAAATGTCAGAAATATGTCCATAGCAATGCGACCCTAAAATCACATCACTTAACTCAAAATTGATTAAATGACCAAATATTTTCAACTATGTAAATAATGGTCCTTGAAAAGTTGTTCAAACAGTTTGCAAACTAATCAATAACCTTATTTTTCATTTAGTTAATGAACAAATGTCAGAAATATGTCCATAGCAATGCAACATTAAAATTACATCACTTCTACTGAAGTCTATTTTCAATATTGGCAATCTGAAATTCCAGGAAATGAAATAAATCATACTGGTAACCAAAAGATTGCCTTCAAAAATTTAAAATTACGGGGGATATTATGATCTAGTCTTTAACATTTATATTCATAGTAATTATTAACTATGGCCTCAAACAGCAAAAGCTTAAAATTCAATATATTTATCAATTATTTGATGAAAGCAATATTCAAAGCATTTTAAATTATTTTTAAAACAGCTTACAATAAAATAACAAGAAACATGGCAATGCCATGAAACCAGGTGTTCAATTATCACCATTGTAGATAAATATGTTGTATTTGAAATACAAATACAAGCAACAAACAATGTAACTATGTGCAATGTAAAACATGAATAATGTAGGAGGAATTGCCACTGAAGAAGTGTTCACTATATATTCTGTATAAGGAAAAAAACAAAGGGCCATAATTAGGTCATAAATTATCCAATCACAAAACCCCGACAATATGTGCCAGGGCACTTGATGACAAAGCTTCTGTGAAAGTTTGAACAAAATCCGTTGAGAAATGTAGGACGAGTTCAGCACAGAAGAATTTGTTCACTATACATTGATAATTCTGTATAAGGAAAAAAAACAAAGGGTCATAATTAGGTCAAATATTATCCAATCACAAAACCCCGACAATATGCGCCAGGGCACTTGATAACAAAGCTTCTGTGAAAGTTTGGTCAAAATCCGTTGAGAAATGTAGGACGAGTTCAGCACAGAAGAATTTGTTCACTATATATTCTGTATAAGGAAAAAAAACAAAGGGCCATTATTAGGTCAAATATTATCCAAACACAAAACCCTGACAATATGCCCCAGGGCACTTGATGACAAAGCTTCTGTGAAAGTTTGGTTAAAATCCGTTGAGAAATGTAGGAGGAGTTGCTCACAGAGGAAATTGTTCACTATATATTCTATATAAGGAAAAAAAACAAAGGGCCATAATTAGGTCAAATATTATCCAATTGCAAAACCCCGACAATATGCGCCAGGGCACTTGATGACAAAGCTTCTGTGAAAGTTTGGTCAAAATCCGTTGAGAAATGTAGAAGGAGTTGCGCACAGAAGAAATTGTTTACGCCCGCCCGCCGACATACCTCAATCTAATAACCAGTTTTTTCCTTCGGAAAACCTGGTTAAAAATATATTGTCAAATACATGCAACTTGAGTTAATGAACAAATGTCAGAAATATGTCCATAGCAATGCAACACTGAAATCACATCACTTCTACTGAAGTCTATTTTCAATATTGGCAATCTGAAATTCCAGTCAATGAATAAAATCATACTGGTAACCAAAGATTGCCTTACAAGAAGATCTGTGACTGAATAATAATGTTTTTATCTAGTTCTTAACATCTACCTATTAAATATTGTGGTATAACACCATAAATGCTAAAATTTATTTCATTATGGTAAATGATCAATTTTTTCGTGTTCCTATGGTCCTTAGATATTTTTTAAATTTTTCTTAGGTAAAAGCTTACTATCAAATAAAAATATTGCCTCAGCACAGGTGTAGACTCTACAGAATCCTGTCTGATATGCTAGAAGACTCAAATAATGCTCTACTTACTTTAACAACAATCAATGTCAGAAATATGTCCATAGCAATGCAACATTAAAATCACATCACTTCTACTGAAGTCTATTTTCAATATTGGCAATCAGAAATTCCTAATGTGATAAAAATGTCACACTGGCAACCAAAGACAGCCTTAAAACATCTATCATAACTGGATCAAATCACTTGGGCAGATGTGACAAAAAAACAACAATGAAAATCTTCACTAGGAAAACTCAATATTTCAAGGACAAAACTATCAATATTGTATACATGTATATTGACAGCTTAGTAAGAAAGGGTTGTAACTCCATCTTTTTTTTTAATATGAGTTACAACCCTTTTGCAATAATGCCTTACCTTTTGTTTTGCAAATCCCGGATCAATCACAAACACGACTCCATCAATGGTCAGCGAGGTCTCGGCAATGTTGGTGGAGACAACAACTTTCCTACCAATGGCTCCATTTGGTTTGTTTGGGGGTGGAGGTTCGAAGATTCTTTGCTGTAGATTTGGTGGTAAGGTGGAGTATAAGGGGATACATTTCATGTCTCCTACATCTGGTCCCAGATTGTCTACTTCACGTTGTATTCTCTTACAAGCTTCATCAATCTCCTGCACAAAATCAAATCAAGTATTTGTCTTTATTCTACAACACAACTTTCATAAACTATATAACTTCATGTATAATCTTCGAGATTGCTCAAGAAAAATAAGCCTTTTAAAATGATGTGCTTACTCCTCAGTACTATTTTTTAAAATATCCTATCACTTTTTGATGAATTTCTCTATAGGTTGTTACAAATTTTTAAAAATTAATCTATCAAGAAATTTATCAACAAAACTATGTTTTCCTCCAATTTTACATTATTTATGCAAAAAGAAAAGAAGACCATAATTCTGCTAAAATCATCAGTTCACTTTCAACAACATATGTATATATATAGGTCGTTTGATGACAAGCACACTTGATGACATGACCATCATTTTCAGGCTGAAATTTTGGTTGAAATTCTTTGAGAAACAAGTCATACAGGGATGAAATCACAGGGAAGAAATTGTTTACACCCAGCAGCAGCCTGCCAGAATTTAAAAGAAGCTTACCTCTTGTCCTGTAAGAAAGAGAAGAATATCTCCCTCAATTTCTTCACACATGTGTATCTGTAGCACTGTTCTGATGGCCGCCTCTAAATAATCTCTCTCGGGCTCCGGCGTGTAGAAAATCTCCACAGGATGCGTTCTTCCAGGAACACTCATCAATGGTGCATTGTCAAAATAATTCTGTAAGTAAAACATTGAATCAATCAATACAAATGACTTAATGAGTCTCTGTCATATTATATGAATCTTGAATTAATTTGAAGGGTCAAAATTTCAAATTTGTGTTTGTACAAAATTTTGTTGTAAGTTTCAAGGGTTTAAAGTGTACCATTCCTGTGAACAAAGGCCACTAAGAGGAGAGACCAACTATGACCTTTATAAACAAGTGGTCTTTATTTGGAGGTTGTAATGTTCTCTTAAATAAGGGAAGTGCTGTTAATGAGTGGCCTTTATTTACAGCATGACCTTTCTTTTGAAAGTGTTCTTTAATACAGACTTAACTGTATCTATATAATGGGATGTTCTGACAATTGTTTAATAATATGGTGTAATGCTCTTACTGTGCATTTTTTAAACAAGCATATAAAAGCTGGTAAATGTTCAAAAGAAACACTTCTCAATAAAGAAAGTATCATTTAGACATTCAATTTAATTTTTGAAGGAGAAAGAATCATGCCTACACTGAAAAGCATTACCTGAAATTTACCGGCGTCCAATGTAGCACTCATAATGATAATTTTGAGATCGTGTCTCTGTTTCGCAACTTCCTTCAATAGACCCATCAGAATATCTGTAGCCAGTGAACGCTCGTGAGCCTCATCAATTATGACAACACCGTAGTTCTCGAGAAGTGGATCGGACATAGCTTCTCTTAGCAACATACCGTCAGTCATGTATCTGTACAACACAAAAGTTTTACATTCTTTATAACTAACATCTTTTATCAACAAATTTATATGTAAAATATTTCGATGAAACAGGTGCAGTAAATTGTTGCAATGCAGTCGAGAGATTTTTTTATGAATATCTTATTTGTTTTGAAGACTTCCCTTGAAGAAACACTATGCTAAAATCTGATATTTGAAAATATTACAAACTGCTACACTGTCTTTTTGTAAATATAAAATAAACATAATTTCACTTCACACAAAGTAAATATGGTCTGCTTTAAGAGAGGACCAACTTTTCTTGACCCGTAATAAGAAACGCAGCTTCCCATACATAGTGTGTACGTTCTCTTATTCAGAAAAGACATATTCAGTAAGAATTTGCTAGACTTCAAAAAATATTTTACTCAAAGATGAGCAGAGTATATCTTTAAAAATGCTAGTGAAAATTGCTGAATTTCAAACATTTTTTTCCCAAACAAAATATAGTTTTACTTGAGAATGGTTTTTGATGATGTGCAGTCTTCAAATCTGATGCTGTAACCAACTTCCTGTCCGAGACCGACGTCCATTTCCTCGGATACACGCTGTGCAACAGACATTGCAGCTACCCTACGGGGTTGTGTGCATGCCACCCCCTTCTTGTTATATCGTAACCGCACCCAATCTAGACACCATTGGGGAATCTGAAAACAAAATTTCAATCCACTGTAAAAAATCTATTGAGTTCTGAATTTATCTTGCAAAGAAACTAAGAAATAATATATCCCAAGCATAGATTTTATCGCTTAATTAAATAACTGTTTGGACTTTGTACACAAAGAATCATGAGCATGAGGAGAATCTTTTGCCCATTTGGTTTTGCCATTTGCAGTCAATGCAGTGAAACTTCTCATGCTATATCAAGACCGAGTTCGCTGTAACCATGCAAAATGTACAAGGCGTCGGAATATATAGGACTGTGCTTGTATGCCATCTAAAAACATGTGTAAAATTGGCTATTTCTAAGTCTGCGAGAATCCAAATCAGGAATAAGAAATGCCTGTGTTAACTTGGCAACCGCAAAACTTGAAAAGTCAAATCAGGAGTAAGATTTACCTGTGTAGTTTTACCAGACCCTGTCTCTCCGACAAGTACTAGTGTCTGATGTTTATTTAGCACCTCTACAAACTTTTCTTTGTACTCCCACACCGGCAATGTCTTCCTTTTAGCAAGAAGCTGTAAGTAACGTGGTGTGTGTGGTAACCCTGAAATATACAATCACTCTCAAATAAAATACTACAGGATGAGCACTTTGAGAAATACTGTTTTACCATAAGTTATAAATCTTAAATAAAACTTAATTTATATGCAGACTTAATTGAAATTTACAGAGATCTATTAACAAATAAACTAGAGCAACTTGTATGCATGCTTGATCAATCCCATTGCTTGTTTGTAACACAAGGTCAGTTATAATCATTCTGGACTTTAATTCATATAACATACCTGTGAATGGATTGATCTGTAGTTGTGGTTTGGGAATGTTGAACTGTTCAAATATTGATTTATGTTTTTCATCTTTGGAATCAGTGCGGTGTGGTGACCGTGATCTTTCCCTCTTCTTGTCTCGGTCATCATCTCTATAATAATAACATAATTTACAGGGTTAATAAATCTGAATTTGACTAACTTGTCAGTTTTTAAGTGAAGCCAAAACACATTCGCATTTTTTATCTTGACTGCATGATATTTATAGCGAGCTCGACTAGCTGGCCCTAACGGCCTGCTCGCAAAGCGAGGTTTTCGGTAACGCCTGTACCTGCCAGTACTCTGATTGAAAACTGAAGCGTAGACTGGTGTCCTGCACACTTATATGGGAATCATAATAGAAAGGAGAAACCAGAATAAACGGAAGCAGTGTATAAAATACCGAATGACAATTTTAAAACGGGAAATGTAAAATAACAAGAGCGATCAGTAATCACATGTGTCGCCTCATGATGGCCAATTTCATGTTGGGACAAATTTTGTGACAGACGGACAGATAGACGGTGCACAACTAGACTTGGTACTGATCATTCCTGTAAAGTTTGGATAAAATTGCACCAGTAGTTTATGAGGAGTAGTTCGGACAAGCTTTTGCGTATCTGGCAACACACAGAAAAAAAACACCTTTTTATCAAAGGGCCATAACTCGGCCAAAAATCATTCAACCAGAAAACCCATGGATGCAATATGCGCAAGGACTTGAGCTACAGATCAATCCTGTAAAGTTGCATTGAAATTGCATTAGTGGTATAAGAGAAGTAGTCCAGACAAACTTTAAAAATAAAAATTATTAAAGGGCCATAACTCTGACAAAAATCATTGGACCGGAAAATGCTGACAATATACACAAATACTTGGTACAGATCATTCCTGTAAAGTTTGGATGAAATTGCACCAGTAGTTTATGAGGAGTAGTCCGGACAAGCTTTTGTGTATCTGGCAACACACAGAAAAAAACACCTTTTAATCAAAGGGCCATAACTCGGCCAAAAATCATTCAACCAGAAAACCCGTGCAATATGCGCAAGGACTTGAGCTACAGATCAATCCTGTAAAGTTTCATTGAAATTGCATAAGTGGTATAAGAGAAGTAGTCCGGACAAACTTTAAAATTAAAAATTATTAAAGGGCCATAACTCTGACAAAAATCATCGAACCGGAAAATGCTGACAATATGCACAATTAGACTTGGTACTGATCATTCCTGTAAAGTTTGGATGAAATTGCACCAGTAGTTTACGAGGAGTAGTCCGGACAAGTTTTGTGACGGACGGACAGACAGACGACAGAGAAGGGATCCCTATATGTCGCCACTACTCCGTAGAGGCGACACAAAAATGAACAACTATTTTACGGTAAAAGAAAATAGAGTTCACTTTGGGGCTTTGCCTTTTTTATATTATAGTATATTCTTGAAAATTTCCACTTGTCCATACAGGCTTTGGGTCAACCTGGGGGCAACTTCCTGTGTGTGTGTGTGTTTATGTTGTTGTTGTTTTTATGGTTTTTTTTTCAGAAATAATTTATGTAAAAAAACAATGACAAGCTGACAACAGGTCTAGCTATCCGTAAATCATAGACACGAGGGATTGTCCTATAAATTTATGTGGAGACAGGAAATCTAAATGTATTTCAATTAAATGCAAGATTTTTTTTCTCTCAGACAGCATGGCATTCATGATCATGGTGAAAAATTATTTCGAATTCGAGTGGCCGAGATTTCATTTCAAATAGTCGCCATGTTTCGTGGCCGCAATAATGTCATACAGAGTGGAATGGAATATTTCATATATGTTCAGCATTTAACCCACTACCTTCTCCTGCTGTACGAGTCACCGACGTCTATGCGATGCCGCTTCGACATTTTCCCCAAAGATGGCGTTACCTTATTCTAATACTCCGGACTGATGAGCTCGATTAAGGGTCTGAGAGAACTAAAAGTTTTCAGCTGACAGATTATTCTCTTCCTTAACACTTCCTTACCCTGACGGTTCTCTCCAAAACCGTTTTCTCCCCTGACGGTTCTCTGCCAAATTTGAAATATGCAGACAGTTCTCTCCCGACTTTTTTTAAGTTATCATTTTAGTCTAATCATTTCTTAATGAAGATTATTAAAATAATGAGTTTGAAGTGCATTTTATGTTTATTATGAAAAGTGTTTTTAAATTTAATACCTTTTTTCAGGTATTTTAATCCCATCAACACCTCCATTGTGAGAAATTAAGAATATTTGTAGTTATGTAAAGGTCTAGTGGTATTCATTCATTTGTTAAATAGGGAATAAGGTGGTATAATAAACTATATTCTAGAAAATAAATAAGCGACAACTGGTATGCAATCACATTTCACAATTACTTTTATAGAACATTAAATAAAGAACATGTAGTCATTAACATGAAACAATATACAATACAATACAATACAATACAATACAATACAGTTTATTTGCTTTAAACATTATAACAACGTTTCTAGCATAATAATAGACAGTACGTAACATAGTTATTAGCAACAATATGCGGAACAAAATGTTATGAAATCTGTGTTAGCGGAGGGATATTTGTTATATGACAAAAATATAAAATTTAATCTTGATTTGATTATTTTTTTGTGATGAAAAACATAAAGATTACTACATAAATTAAGAGAAAAATGTTAATTACCTCTTCTTTTAAAGGCAAAGTATGAATATCTTGATAAATTTTGAGTCATTTTTCTAGAATTAGATGATAAGATACTTTCAAACGTTGTGGTTGTTGGCCAATGGCAATAATAACTTGGCAAATATTTTATTCTTATATCTCTATAGTAAGGGCAGACCAACAAGAAATGATATTCGTCCTCAATTTGATTAGAATTGCAAAAGGTACATAGTCGACTTTGCCTGGGTGTGTCGTCATATCTTCCAGTTTCAATAAGTAAATTATGTGCTGATATTCTGTATTTAGTTAAAGTTATTCTAAATTTTTGTTCACAAACATCTGAAAAAATATTTCTCCAACATAAAATCGTGTTTGTATATTGAATAAAAATGTAAGCGACTAGAATTATTTATTTCACAGTACCAATTTTTGTTTGTAAGTATCAATAACTCTTAACTTAATCTCTTCAAACGGACTGTCTATATCAAACTGACAATGCCAAATATAACTGAAACCGTGACTATCTAATATCATTTTGATTTGAGTTGCCCAATTTTGAAAGAAATTATTTCTATTATCTGTATGATTTTCAGCATGAGAAATGTTTGTTTAATAAGCGAATTTTGATCTTGTTTTAGTATGTGTACCCAATACTTAAGCATATTTATTTTTCTATTACATTCCATCGGTAATCGTCCAGTTTCACCATATAGTGCACATAAATTGGTTGACTTTTTGACACAAAGAATCCGTCTTAAAAATTTTGTATGTACAGCTTCGATATCTGGTGCTTTATGACTGCCCCATATTTGTGAACCAAAGTTAAGAACGGAACCGACAAGAGTATCAAATAACGAAAGCTTTTGGGACATTGGAAATTCGGCGTAATTAAGTGTTTTAAATAAATTAAATAAAGAAAATGAAGCATGTTGCGAAATACTTTTTTGGGTGCGAAACCAGTTACCATTTTTAAACAAAGTTATTCCTAGATATTAAAAAGAGGGAACTATTTCAATTAGAGTGTTTTCAATGTAAAAATCAAATTTCGTATGTCTGCCACGTTCAAAAATCATAGCTTTTGTTTTAGAAGTATTAATCTTTAATCCCCAAATATAACAATAATTAACGACATCGTTTAACATTAACATTAACTGTAAGGAAACTGGCGAAAAAGAAAATAGTGCCTGGTCGTCGGCATACAGAAGTAAAAACAGTTTAAGCTCGTTTAAAGTAAAAATCCCATCAAGGTCTGAATTTATATATAATACCAAATAACTAATAAAAATACTTATTCATGAACACCTTTTCACAGATATTTTAATCTAATCAATACCTTGATTCTTGAGTAATGAATTAATAAACACCTCAATTATCTCTGACAGCTGACTTCTTCGTTAATTAATCATTAATTCTAAAACCAAAACAAAACAAAAACAACAACAAAAAATAATCAATATCTAATGATTATCCTAATCAAGTAAATATTTATTAATTATTTTCAATGACTAAACACCTTAAAAAGTATACATTAGATCAAATGAGAAAATCAGAACAATTATACTAAAAGAAATTTTATAATTAAACTTATATTAATTTATCATAAACTTACGAATCAATGAGCCCAGAGCACCAGAAAAATATATAACAACACTGAAGTAAATTACGGAGAAACTATTTACAGTGCAGCACTTGACACCTGCTGATGTGAAGTGAGCTCTCGATGTACATGTTTGTAAGAAAATAAACATCTGGAACAGGAGAGATAACACCGAAAGCAACTCCTCCCAGATCAGCTAAATTCATATTTTACGATTTTTATTTTATTGTCATTTAGCATTAAATCATTTCTAACAAAACGAAATGAATTCAAGTTTTATTGTCAATGTGAAATTGGTTAAGTTACACGTCCGAAAACAAGTACAAATTCTAAATTAATAGTGCCGACGTTCTTGCGAAACATTGATAGATTCATATTTCATGCATTTCGTTTTATTGCCATTTAAAAAGTTATTTGTCAATTAAAATATTTCTAACAAAACAAAATTAAACCAAGTTTGATTGTAAACCTTACATAATTATTAAAATATTCCATGAAAACGAATACAAATCATGACTATACGATCTACATTCTCGCGAAACATTCATAAATTCACAGTCCATGCATTTTATTTTATTGTCATTTAGAAAATCATTGCTCAGTTAAAAATATATGTATTTCTGGGTAAACTAAACGAATTTAAATTTAATTATGCAATTAGTTACATATAAGCAAATATTCTGTGAAAACTATTTTCACAATTGATAAATTATACCAACGTGATAAAGTTATATTTCATGCATTTTATTTATTTCCATTTAGAAAATTATTACTAAATAAAAATATTTCTAACAATACGAAAATAATTCAAGTTTAATTGTGAAATAAGTTAAATTCGATGTAGTAAAATACACTATGAAACAATTACAAATCATAAATAAAAGCAACGTTCTCGGTATGCTTACAGTGAAAGAAAATTTTAGTATTACTGTTTCTTTAACAATATTTTCTTTAACTAGATGAATTTACTCAATGTAGAGTTCATATAAGGCTGCAGATGCTTTTCTTAGTTTAATTTGGGCTTGTTTGTTAAATATTTTGTCAGTATAGATGAGATTTTTTTTCGGAAGCTAGGTCTAAATTTTCCTCTGTATTGACAAAAGATAAATCTGAACTTCTGAAATCATTTGAAATATCATATTGAAATATAGCCAGCATGGATTTAGAAGAAGGCGGAGCTGCGAAACCCAGCTACTAACGCTGACAGATGAGCTCACCAAGTCAATGGACCGGCGTAAACAACATGACCTTGCAGTACTGGACTTCAGCAAAGCCTTCGACCGCGTCCCACACAGTCGCTTGCTAGTCAAGCTCAATCATTATGGCATCAGAAACCATACTCTGAAGTGGATTGAGGCATTTCTCACAGGTCGCACTCAGCGCGTAGTTGTTGATGGAGCAACGTCCGACCCAGCACCCGTTATCAGCGGAGTCCCCCAGGAAAGCGTGCTCGGACCCATACTCTTCCTGGTCTTCATCAATGACCTGCCACTTCATGTCACGTCTAAGGCCAGACTCTTTGCTGACGACTGTGTGGTATACCGGGAAATCGCCACTGAAGAGGACTGCCACATTTTACAGGATGACCTGAAGAAGCTGGCATTGTGGGAGAAACGCTGGGGCATGAGTTTCCACCCAGAGAAGTGCAGCATAATCAGGGTCCACAGGAAGAGGAACCCCATCATATACCCGTACTCCTTGAAGGGCCACACACTCGAGATAGACTCGACAACCAAGTACCTCGGAGTCCATATGTCTGGAAACCTCTCCTGGAACCAACATGTTGACAAGATTGTGAAGAAGGGCAACAGTACACTCGGCTTCCTTCGACGCAACCTGCGCATCAGCAACGAACAGGTCAAGAGCACAGCCTACATGTCACTCGTGCGACCAGGCCTTGAATATTGCTCCACCGTCTGGAACCCTTATACCAAGGACCTTACACGCAAGCTCGAGATGGTCCAGAGGAGAGCTGCAAGATATGTGACGAACCGTTACCACAACACCAGCAGCGTATCCTCCATGATCCAACACTTGGAGTGGGAGACATTAGAGTCACGACGGACCAAAGCCCAGCTGACCATGATGTTCAAGATCACCAATGACCTTGTGGACATACCAGTCAGCGATTATCTCACCCCTGCCCCGAGCCGCACAAGAAGTGACCACTCCAAGAAGTTCCATCTACCATCCACATCTACATCGTACTACAAGAACTCCTTCTTCCCTCGTACAGCCACAACGTTACGTGGAACAGCCTACCTGCCTACGTTGCAGAGGCCCCTGACTTGGTATCCTTCAAGCAGGGGCTATCAGCCCTCACATTCTAATCCGCCTTAGGGGCCCAGTTACAAGTACCCACTAGTGATATCCAAGGCTGTGCCGGCCGCGGCCACCGTAACCGGAGAGGTTTGGGTTGAAGAGGCGAAATGTAGCTGGCCAGACTTTTTGTCTATATCTTTTCCTTTTGACATATCCAACCTCTTCTAACTTTCTATCATTTCTTGTATAATTCCTTTTCTTGACCTAGCACCACCCGTCGCGTTATAATCAAGTGTGATTGCGCCGGCGTACAATGTAGATGTAGATCATATATATCTTCATTAAAATGTGAAGCTTCTATAGCTAATTCATGTAGCTTGATATGTTTGTACATATCAATTTTAAATTTAAACCAATCAAATTGTGGCAATCACTTATGCCGCAGTTAAAATCTGTAACATTTTACAGTACGACAGTATGAAAATGCGTATTGGGTGATGAATTGCTTAAACACTGTGAGTTTTTTTGTTTTTTTTTATTATTCCTGAAATATTTAGTGGTGTTCAATCTGATATAAGATTTTTCCGGATGCTAAGAATAGGGAAACATGTGATGTTTACTTCCGGAACAATTGGTTCCCGTTCTTGCACTCTACTCGTGTAAAGAAAAAAAGGGGAACCAGTGTAATTTTGTCAGAAATTAAACATATTGAAATTCATAAAGTTTACAAAATAGAAAAGTTTAATCATCATGGCTGAAGAAGAGGATGAGACATTCTTAGAGTTCCACGAGATGGGAATCGATGACAGACTGTTGAAGGTTTTATGATTTGATGAAACTGTTTTGTAACCAATTTTCGCGACGCAATATCAATTTGTTTTGTTAACTAATTTACATTTACTAAATTTGCTAATAATTTTAGTACATTTCACATAATTACTGACTTTTAAGTATTGAGTTACTCAGGAGTCTGTTCTTGTTATATCAAAATTATCTCATTATACTAGGAAAACACATCTTTTTGTGGATAACTACATGTACTTAGTCCAACTAATTGTCCTGTGTGACGAAATTTTGTGCTATTTTGCTATTTTGTGTCAGGGCAATGTCTCGCCTCTGCGAACAACATAATAAGTACCTTTACTGTGGTGAAATTTGCGGGTTTTTTATATGGTTTTGACATAGATGCGAGATTTTGACCCAAACCGAAAATATAGATCAAGTAGAATGTAACTTTGGCACGTCAATATATTTTGACTAAATAACTACAATGCCACAATTTTTACACTCATTTCCAGGACACTTTTCATTTGGAGGTGGGGCATTGATCAGCAAACTTTTTTTTTTTAAATTTACATAGCGGCATATAACCTATATTACAATTTGCAACTTTACAACTTACAAATTTAAAGGGACTCCACTGAGGTTTTTTTGACATGATGGTACTAAAAATATTTTTTCCAGATAAATATACCATTTCAAGGCCTTTTTACCCTTCTTTGCTGTAGCCGGTATCCGGCTTCTTCCCCAAGCTGAATTACTACCCTTTTTCCCCAAAAACAGTCAAAAATTCCCCTTTTGCAAATATTTACCCTTTCAAAAGAAAGATAAATGAAGGACAAACATTCTCACTTAAAAATAGATTGTTGTTTCGTCCAATGAATGCTAATATTAAATATAATAATTCAATTACCCACTAGAGGGATACCTTTATTTAATACAATTGATGTTAACTCACAGCCTCAATCTGATATTGCAATTTTCCAAAAACAGCATGGGAAAAACCTAGTCTGGATTGCTTGTCCCTGTTACTACGTCATCGCAGAATAGTAGGCATGGAACCAGACTAGAGAAAAGCCCTGCTTCTCATTCTTTAGTGAACTGGTGATATTTTACAACAATGTGCGACCGATTTACGATGTTGCTAATGTAAACAATCACAAAAGTGGCGTTCATAAAAGAACAAAATACGATCGAGTGACATTTTGTTATTGTTAATTAAAAATTTGAAGAATGAATTTGATGACCCTTCTGTAAGTGCAAGAGTACCTAATGCATGTTTCCGCTCTCAAGCCCAAATCACTGATCCAGAACTGTCAATAGATATTGTTATTTTTAGTTATTGGTGTCTGGAGGAAATTTGAATATGAGTAATTTTGAACCCTTTTTAGCTCGACTATTCGATAAGAATAAGTAGAGCTATTGTAGTCAACCGAGCGTCTGCGTCCTCGTCGGCGTAACCACTTATGTTAAAGTTTTTGTAATACCTCAAATATTTTCAAAGTCCATTGACATATGGCTTTGAAACTTTGCACACTTGTACACCATCATGACCCCAACCTGTAAACAGGAGGAGGTAACTCTATCAAGCATTTTGACAGAATGATGCCCCTTTTTCGACTTAGAATTTACGTTAAAGTTTTTGTAATAGTTCAAATATTTTCAAATCCATTGACATATGGCTTTGAAACTTTGCACACTTGTTCACCATCATGACCCCAACCTGTAGACAGGAGGAGGTAACTCTATCAAGCATTTTTTTTACTATCAAGCACTAAGAAAAGTGGACCGTTGCTGTCCTACCGACAGCTCTTGTGTTAAAGTTTTTGTAATACCTCAAATATTTTCAAAGTCCATTGACATATGGCTTTGAAACTTTGCACACTTGTTCACCATCATGACCCCAACCTGTAAACAGGAAGAGGTAACTTTATGAAGCATTTTGACAGAATTATGCCCCTTTTTCGACTTAGAATTTACGTTAAAGTTTTTGTGATACCTCAAATATTTTCAAAGTCCATTGACATATGGCTTTGAAACTTTGCACACTTGTTCACCATCATGACCCCAATCTGTAGACAGGAGGAGGTAACTCTATGAAGCATTTTGACAGAATGATGCCCCTTTTTGGACTTAGAATTTACGTTACAGTTTTTGTAATACCTCAAATATTTTCAAAGTCCATTCACATATGGCTTTGAAACATGTTGAAATATTATACTCTTCTAGAAGTCTCTCCAATGCCTATAACTGTAATATGGATTTAAAGAAAAAAATTGCCTTTTATTTTACTAAGAAAATTTAACTTTTAATCAAAGCTTTTTTTACTATCAAGCACTAAGAATAGTCGAGCGTTGGTGTCTTACCGACAGCTCTTGTTTATAATCCCAAAGACCTTGTATGGCATTGTCCGTCCTTTCCGCACGACTGAAAAGAAATAGGGGGTCATCAAACTGTAAACAGAACCATCAACAATGGAGTTCATTCAGTAACAATAGAAGAAGAGGCTAATAGGCCTCTATTGAACAAAAGAAATTGCCCCTTACCCCAGTTTAGTCGCATGTCAGTTTGTAATTCTGTCCATAGACAATTTGTTTCAAAGATTTAATTGACTGTTTATTTTTAAGAGAAATTATTGGTTTCTGCGGAATAACTTTTAAAGGATTTCAGTGATTATGTTTATATTTAGCATGTAAGTTTGTAATATTAAAAGACAGGTGAGGCAATTAAAGTTGCATTTTTGCTGCAATCAACTCATTATTTATAGAGCTATGCCCATTTCTAAGCAATTTTTTAAAGTAAAATTATTGGTTTCAGCAGAATGACTTTTTAAGGATTTCAATGATTCTGTTTATTTTTGTCACACAAGTGTATTGTATCAAAACACATGTTAAGTTTTAGTTTATTGAAAGAGTAATTTTCTTTTTCCAGCAATTTTTCTGTTAAATGTGTTAATATTTGGCATGAAAGTACATTGTATGTAATATCAAAACACGACTTAAGACTGAATTTCTCTACAATCAGCTAGTTGCAACCTTGATATAATTAATTTATTTTTTATTAAAATGAAATTAAGTCATGTCAAATCTTCTAATACTTTTATGTGTTAATGTGCTACCTCGAAAAAAAATTAGACGCTATTTTTCTTTTACATTTGATGGTAAAATCATAATCTGAGCCATTTACAACAATTTGTTATCTTTCTTAAAGCACATTTTGTCCATGATACCTTTTTGTAAATTTGCCATGTTTGTTCAACACTTACTTTATATACAGAATATTATATTTGCTATATAAAACTTTCATATACAGAATATCATATTTGCTATATAAAACTTATAGTTATAGACACACTCTTAAATCCGTTCCAGGAAACAACCAATACTAAACAATGAGTGTCAAAGTTCTTATAGGGTTTGAACCCCAGGGATCACTTGGGGACACCACCAGATTTGTTTTGTTTAATTAACCAATCTTTCATTTTCAGGCCATTTCCAAGCTAGGCTGGTCAAGTCCTACTCCAATTCAGGAACGTGCAATTCCATTGGCTCTTGAAGGCAAAGATGTTTTAGCCCAGGCCCGTACTGGATCAGGAAAAACTGGTGCATTTGTGATTCCAGTTATCCAGAAAATTTTAGCTTCAAAACAGGTACTGGTATTTTAAAATTGTAATGACTTTCGCAAATACTTGTTCCTGCAACATTTGTTTTTTTAACATTTTTTTTTTTTTCAATTTTACATAATGTGGGAATATACATGTATTGGCATTTAATTATTTTGAAAATTATATCCGGAATAAAGTGTCTCTAGTGTTATGCACTTTGGTAAAGCACTATTTGCACGTTCTTTTACTTTGTTGAAATATGAAAAATAGCCTATGCCTCCAGTACAGAGCAAGGCCAGCCTTCAAATCCATACAACCTGATATCCCCAAATTTGATGGCTGTGCCAAAAATGATAGCTGGACAAGTACATATAAGAAAATCAGCTGGTTAAAAGTTAAAATAATGAATTTAAAGGTTCACTGTTTATTTATTCCAGATGGCCACAGAACAAAGTGTTAAAGCAATTATACTAACACCTACAAAGGAACTGTGTAGCCAGGCCCATAAAAACATACAGGTATTAAAAAAATGTCGTTGAGTTGTTTTTTTGTTTTTATTTAATACAATAGAAGAAAGTTGATAGACATAGTGACATACATGTAGAACTTGATAGTATTTTAAGATTATTTTTTTTAAGTAAAAAGCTAAGTTTTAAATATTAAAAATTTTATTTGACCATTAAATGAAAGTAAAGCAATGTGATAAAATTTCTAGTATAGTCAGTATTGAGAATAATATTGTGGTATCTCTTGTGGCTTTAATTATGATATAAGTAAGAGTTACTTCCCTTACATTATTAAATAACTATAAATGCATTCATGCAGCCCTGTAAATAGCCTTAAGAAAGAAGAAACATTTTTCTGCCCACAGATCAGGAAGCATTTATAGGTTTGTTTTGCAGTAACAAGACTGAGATTAATTTGAGCTAACTGCTTTGTTCATTATTATTAAATAACCATTGAAGTTTTTGACTTGAAACTTCACTAGTTTTGTAATTGGTAGAATTAAAAACAGTTATCTGTATAAGGTATGCTTATACTCAATCTGATAAAAATCAGCTCCTAAGTAATGCTACACTAGGTGACCTGATGATCACCAATTTGAGGTCACCTCATGACCTTTAAATAATCCAAACCTGTGGTTGCTATTGTCTTCTTAAAAGTGGATCAGGAATGAGTACATGAATTTCAAAAGTTTAAAGGTATTACGTGTCAAAGAAATTGGCAGCGCCAATATTTTTTTATAAATAACTTAAGAATGCTAAACAGAGTTATTTACAGTCAACATGTGAACAGAAGATCTTTAATTGGGTCACATTCTACTGATCAGAAGGCTGCATGGGATTTATACTAGTGAAACAAGTGATCATGACAGCTAGGGTTCACAGGGTTCATACATTTACTTTATTTCATTTCAGGAACTAACAACTTCGTGTTCACGTGAAATTAGATGTGTTGATATCTCCCCACAAGTACCATTACCTACACAAAGGTGGGTTATGTAATCTGATCTTTCCTTCCTCCGAAATATTCAGATTTTATTATATTTTTGGTGTATTTTGGTATCTTCACTTAGCAATTATTGCCTCTCCTTTTCAGGGTCATTTCCAATATATTATAAGCCTAAGATAAGATAGAAATCTCCCATCTCCATGAAAACTGATAAAAATCTTTTACATGTTGGTGCTTTAATAATATTTTCCTTCATATGTATAAAGTAATTTGAAAAATAACCTAAATTAGCTGTTTATATTGATTTTTTTTCATACTTATCACTTATATTATATGCATATACAAGTTTGACTCCCAAAATAGCTGCCACTTTTGGCAAGGGAGGTAAATATTGTAAAAATTGTGTACAAGCAGATATAACATTTGCATTATGATAAATATAAGTAGGTTTTTTATTAAGTCTTTCTAATGTATCTAAATAATGTGTCTATACTACTTTAAGCATGCATCATAATTATTTTTAAAACCTGGATGTTTGAAATTTGATTTTTCACTTGTTAAATTTGTTTCAGACCGATGTTATCTGAAAAACCGGACATTGTCGTCTGTACTCCAAGTCGTCTGCTAGCACACATTGAGGCGGGAAATTTAAACATTAAACAGTCATTAGAAATGATAGTAATAGATGAAGCTGATCTCGTCTTCTCCTTTGGCTATGAGGATAATGTTAAAGCCATTCTCGGGTAAATTGTTTATCAACCCTGAATTTCTTAAATGGACTTGTCCGGCAGCCAATTTTGGAACTGTCCATTATACATTTTAGAGATATCAAGATGAAAATTAGAATTTTGGCCATCGACAGTAATGAACCTTGTCAGACTAGACAGATTTGCTGGCTTACCTGACTATACTGGTGGCAAAGGCTAATTACTTTGTGGTTCTAGAAAGATTAGAAGTTTTTCTCCCACAAGGAACTACAACTCATGAACATATTAGATATTGGCATGTTAAAGTTGTGTCCCTTGCATCATAAAAAGCTAAGAGATAGGAATATGTTAAACTCATAGTTGAACTATGTATTTCATAAAGAACATACGGTTTAACTTTTTACAGAAGTAAGTGGTACTGACTTATTACTTGTATCATATCAGAAAGTGCTGCACAAAGGGATCTTTGATAATAAAGTCTTAATGCCTCTATTAACTGTTATGGAGAATGATGGTAATATTTAATACACTAAAAAAAAATACATAAGCGCTTTTCTTGCCTGAAGTATGCATCTTATACAGTACTTCAGTGTTTTATAATTTATTTTTCTTTCAAAGAAACTGGTAGCTTCTTTCTTTTCACGTGCAAGTGCCTTGTCTTTTGACAAGTATGTTTTGATAATGAAGCTACTAGGGCCTTCATTACAGTGAACTTTTATTAAATGGGGTCCCTGAGTCAGGCATATTTAAAAAGTGCAACAAAGCCCCAAAATTGCAATTTCTTTTTCCACTCATCTGTATTTTCTTCCCTATTATTGAATACATGGGTGCACAGTTTTTATGCATCTTTGATGTACTAGGGACTTTATAAATACATGTACATGTATTATTGCAATTTATGGTAATTTATTCACAGAATTTGAGCAATGCATTATCTTGTTTATAATGTTCTCTCTATATTTCAGACATATGCCAAAGATTTACCAGGCATTTCTAATGTCAGCTACACTCGGTGATGATGTTAAAGCCCTAAAGAAGATGGTTCTACACAATGCTGTATGTATTAATCCCTTATCACCCCAAATATATAAAATGGACTTGTCCAGATGTTCGTTTCTCATACTAGACATAACCATTTATCATTTTTAGGGGAAAATTTTATAAGACATACTGACAATATAGCAAACAGTGCAGACCATGATCAGTCCATAAATATGGGCCAGCTGATATTGATTTCTATTGATCACATGGGTAGAATCTGTTGTAGTCATAAGCTAAGAGTTATAATATCATAAGAGCTAAATGATTCAAAACCACTAAATCTTCATCTATCTGCACATGTTAATCAGTCTATATAGAGATTTGATCAATGAGATTATATCATGTGTTTGTCTGATAGTTTGTTTTTTAAATAAAGTACAAAGACGGCTTAATGTATTAAAACAACAGGAAAGGTTAAAGCTGGATAAGGAATGTCTTAGGTATACAGTCCTAGGGTAGAAGTTCTTAGTTACTTGCAGAATAATTAAATAATTTATTAGCGGATAAACTTTTGGAACCAAAAGTTATTAGCCTTTGTCACCAGTATAGAACTAAGTCAGTCTGCTCTTCTGTACAGTTAGACCAGGGTCTATACTGTTGGTAGGTCAAATTTTGTATTGTCATATTTGAAATCCCTTTACTCTCAAACAGACTGTTCTAAACTCAGAGCCGGACAAATATGAGCCGCGTCTCAACATCCGCGCAGTCTGATCAGGATCCTGGCTGTTTGCTGTCAGTTGCTCCACTTGTAATAGAGTTGGTAAGCAAACAGCATGGATCCTGATCAGACTGCGCGGATGCGCAGGCTGGTCTGGATCCATGCTGGTCGCAAACCCACTATGTTGGTTTTGTCGTGATGTGGCTCATATAAAGAAGTCAAGCAGGTTTTTAAGGATAAGTACTTATGTAAAATCCAGGATTCAATGTAGCTTAGAAGATAATTGCCAGCCAGAAAGTGTCACTAAAGTAATGTACAACAAATCACAAGAATTTCCCTAGCCATAATACATGTATTTCTAAGTGTTGGTAATATCTTATATCATTATGTTATGTTATCTTGTGCTTGCGGTTTTTTGTGGTTGTTTGTTTTAAATTTCTTTTGATAAAGAGTTTTAAGAGCTTTAAAACCCAGACAGCAATGTTTTAGTAGAGGAATGGTTTTCTTTTGAAAGTTCATCGGGTATTATTTGATAATGAGTTCTGGTATGCTAGGATTGTTTTGGTGCCAGGAATAGAAATGTCCTTGATTATCAGTCTTTTATATGGTACATTGTAGACCAACTTGGAGTATAAACTGCTAAAAGTATAATTTATTAGTTCTGTTGAAGATCATTGCATAATGTCATACTTTTACAGTGCTAATTCATTGTGCCCACTTCCTTTAAATGGTGCTTTATTTAGACAACGCAATAAGTGAGTGATAATTGTGTAGTTTGACTCACATTTTATAGGGGAATGTCGAGATTCTTGAAAAGTTCATTCGTCTTTTAATTAAAAAGTGGAGTTTTATCATTCGAACCAAGACAGTGGGTTCCAAGTAACATGATACTTACGCAATTTCAGTCCAACTTACAACAATCTTGACGGGGACTTTGGATTCTTTCATGTGAGGAAGCTATCTAGCTAGCTTACAGAATATCGGTGATTCTACAGAGGTGCCCGTTCGTGCTTGAAATAATGCACAGTCTGCGTCCACCACTAAAGCAGGAAAGTCACCATATGACCAATACTGTGTTGATATGACAAAAAACAAGACAAAAAACAAAAAAAATTACAACATGTAAGCGCTTCTCTGCTGAATATATTTTCAGTGAAAATTGAGAAAACCAGAAGCTGAGAAAATCAGAGCTCTTTAAATACCGGACAAATAATTCAGTCTCAAATTTTCCCTTCTCCAAACTATTGACAATACCGGAATCTGTAAAAACCAAATATCGGACAGTTGATTGCGGACTACAAAGTCAATTATATAGACAATTACCCTGACAATACCGGACGATGAAGGTGTGAATAACCTTGTGTACTTATCAATTGGGTTGTGTCTAATACGCTAACTGAGCGGTAACGGAACAATGATTGTCTGATTTGTTTATTATGTCTCTTTTCAGTTTGATTTATTGTAAAGTATACCGTTTTATATAAATGCCAAAATGCACGAGAAATTGATAAGTTAAAACCAGTATAGATAAAAAATAGAGTATTAAATTTGATATTGCGTTGCTTTTTGTATAGTCATTTTCCAAAATGAAAAGACAACGGAAACAACATTTATTGGTGCTAAGCTCTATTCCATGGCTGAAAATAATTCGACTAGAGTTGTCTATTAGTGATAAAGTTAAATTAATAAGAAACAGTGAAACTTTGCCGAGACCTACATGTACTTTATCTGACAAATATGGTATCAGCAATATTTACAACTGGGGCATTGTTATAAACAAACAAGTGAACTATGTTTGTTAAATCATTATTCATTACCCAAATGTATTAAACATATGCAGATGTAATCAGACTTTATTGTTATGAGGTAACTGCTGTTTGTTTAAATCCAAACATTTATTGTCCCCCGCCTTTTCGAAGAAAAAAGGGGGATATAGAAATAGGCTCTGTCCGTCCGTCCGTCTGTCCGTCCGTCCGTCCGTCCGTCCGTCACACTTTCGTGTCCGGTCCATAACTTTGTCATTTATGAAAGGAATTTGAAATAACTTGGCACAAATGTTTATTATAATAAGACGATGTGTCATGCGCAACAACCAGACCCCTACCTCCAGGGTCAAGGTCACACTTGCTCATTCAAGGTCAAAATTGCCTATTTGAGGGTATATGTCGTGTCCGGTCCATAACTTTCTTATCTATGAAGGGATTTTGTAAATACTTGCCATAATTGTTCACAATAATCAGACGATGTGTCATGCGCAAAAACCAGTCACCTACCTTCAAGGTCAAGGTCACACTTGGAGGTCAAATATTAACATAGTCTAATACAGGGTATATTTCGTGTCCGGTCCATAACTTTCTTATCTATGAAGGGATTTTGTAAATACTTGCCATAATTGTTCACAATTATCAGACGATGTGTCATGCGGAAAAAGCAGTCACCTACCTTCAAGGTCAAGGTCACACTTGGAGGTCAAATATTAACATAGTCTGTTACAGGGTATATTTCGTGCCTGGTCCATAACTTTCTTATCTATGAAGGGTTTTTGTAAATACTTGCCATAATTGTTCATAATAATCAGACAATGTGTCATGCGCAAAAACCAGTTGCCTACCTTCAACGTCAAGGTCACACTTGGAGGTCAAATATTAACATAGTCTGTTACAGGGTATGTTTCGTGTCCGGTCCATAACTTTGTCATTTATCAAAGGAATTTGAGATAACTTGGCACAAATGTTTGTTATAATAAGACGATGTGTCATGCGCAACAACCAGACCCGTACCTTCAGGGTCAAGGTCGTACTTGTTCATTCAAGGTCAACATTGTCTATTTGAGGGTATATGTCGTGTCCAGTCCATAACTTTCTTATCTATGAAGGACTTTTGTAAATACTTGCCATAATTGTTAACAATAATCAGATGATGTGTCATGCGCAAAAACCGGTCACCTACCTCCAAGGTCAAGGTCACACTTGGAGGTCAAATACTTACATAGTCTTACAGGGTATATTTTGTGTCAGGTCTATAATTTTTTCATAGATCAAAGGATTGTGAAAATACTTCGCACAAATAGTCACTATAATAAGAGGATGTGTCATGCGCAACACCTGCATCCCTACCTCCAAGGTCAAGGTCACACTTAGAGGTCAAAAATTAACATAGTCTGTTATAGGGTATATTTTGTGTGGAATCTAGAATTTCTTCATTATAAGTTCAAGGGATTTTGAAATAACTTGGCACAAATAGTCACAATAATAAGACGTTATGTCATGCACAACACCTGCTCCCCTACCTCCAAGGTCAAGTTCACACTTAGAGGTCAAAGCTTAACATGATAGATTTTTAAATTCCGTGTTTCATTTTATTTTTTTAACAAATTTATTGTTACATTTGCAGATCTAGCATTGATCATAATTTTGGACTGAATGTCCTGAGATCCATACCTCAATCTTTTGAAATAGCACAATTTTATGCTTCATATAAAACTCCCGGGGCGGGGGACGTTGGTAACTCTGTTACAAATTCTTGTTGTATTTATATGCAATAATGGGACAAAAACAAATAAAACATATTTTATGGTATTTTTATCAATTCTTTATTTAGCAATATACGTACACACAATCATGAAAATGCAAAAATACAGCATCCTTTGTAAGTCATTGCAGGCTGTCCAGCGTCCCTAAAATTCCTAAAAAATCCTAATTTTTTTCAGTTTGGCTAAAATTCCTAAAAAAGTGAAAAATTCAAAGGGAATTCCTAAAAATGCCCTATTTTTTCTCTGAAATTCCTATTTTTTTTATCTTTTGTTATAAACATACTTATGTATAACTTGTAACCCTGCCAAAATGATCACAGACATAACAAAGTCGACCATGTTTTGAACATGGTCAAAAAATGATTTGGCCATGATTTGCCAACTCAAAATTGGTGACATTGAAATGGTTTCTTTTCAACTAAAAGTTACTTTGACTATGTCCGTAACATTGCTATTTTATAATCAAAGCAGTTGTTGATAATCATGTTTACAGTTAAAAGCAAAAACACTTCCATATCATGGTCCTGAAACTTAAATATCATAATCATAAGAGGTCAACTTATTCTGGAATATTTTGAAACTGTTTTTGCCAACTCCAGATATCATGAATTTTATGGGTTTTTTTTCCCAAATGGCTGAAGTGGTCCATATATATCATATCATATTTGAAAATAATCATTATGAAGCTGTTGTAACACAATCTTAATTAAATACAAGTATAATTAGTTGTCAAAAATTAATGTACAATTTGTTTACTCACAACTCTTGTATTTAAATCTGCATAATTTTAAAACAACATTGTAAAGTACTAAATGATTTAACATAGACTTTGCAAAATTAACCCTGTCCCTCATACTTATTTATCCTTTCCGATGCCTCTGTAGGAGAAATTGCTTATTTTGCCCCAAAGTTTTCAATTACATTCAATTCTTGTTCTTTCATTCATAGGGTGCAATTTAGGAAAAGGCATACTCATATAATTTAATCACACTCAAAATAATTTTGCCAGATCACTAAAATAAAGTTCATTTCCAGTTACCATGTACACACATTTTGCAATTATATGATCTAGATAAACTGCAATTGAATGGTCTGTGTGATGAACTTTTTTGATGTGCAATTCTGTTAGTTGATAATAGATGCTTCCCATTTGTTCAAATGACTTTTCTAAGGCCAATGGCTTTTCACTTCCTACTTGTAAAAAAAAATTCATTTTACCATATTCAAAAGCTGCATTGTGCATGAATTTCACTGTAGAAGTATTACTTTTAGACACTCATGGTTATAACATTCCCAAAACATAGGTAGAAAATGTTCTTTTGACATGTTCAACCATTGCAAAAATATATTTCAAATATGGTTTGAACATGGTTTGACTATGACCATTTCCGTAGGGGATGCAGTTGACCAGTGAGTCCACATTGGTAGACACCTTTGCTCTTACTAAACTAAAGCATTATTTGCAAGTTACTTTTGTTTCAAATATGCAAATGTTTACCCACATCATGGTCTTTTTGGGCCTTAGTTTAGTTATGAAATTCCAAAATTTAGCCCTAAAATTTCTATTATGTACCCTAAAATTCCTAATTTTAGCCCTAAAATTTCTAAAATATTGCCCTAAAATTTGCCCTAATTTTATGTCGGAAGGTGCTGGACAGCCTGTCATTGCTCTGTATATAGGATCCTGAACAGCTAAAGGGGACATTGAAAATACCGGACCGCTGAGAAAACCGGACATAACCCTCGGTCCGGAAGCCGTCCGATTTTCTCAACTTTCACTGTATTAATAAACAGTCTTGTTCAGCAATGACTTTGACAAAGTCTACTGTTGCTTTAAAGTGTTTGTTTGTTTTTGTGTGACAATTTTTGTGTCGCCTCTACGGAGTAGTGGCGACATATAGGGATCACTTCTCCGTCGTCTGTCTGTCCGTCTGTCTGTCCGTCTGTCCGTCACAAAACTTGTCCGGACTACTCCTCATAAACTACTGGTGCAATTTCATCTAAACTTTACAGGAATGATCAGTACCAAGTCTAGTTGTGCATATTGTCAGCATTTTCCGGTTCAATGATTTTTGTTAGAGTTATGGCCCTTTAATAATTTTTATTTTTAAAGTTTGTCCGGACTACTTCTCTTATACCACTAAAGCAATTTCAATGAAACTTTACAGGATTGATCTGTAGCTCAAGTCCTTGCGCATATTGCACGGGTTTTCCGGTTGAATGATTTTTGGCCGAGTTATGGCCCTTTGATAAAAAGGTGTTTTTTCTGTGTGTTGCCAGATACACGAAAGCTTGTCCAGACTACTCCTCATAAACTGCTGGTGCAATTTTATCCAAACTTTACAGGAATGATCAGTACCAAGTCTAGTTGTGCACTGTCCGTCTGTCACAAACTTTGTCCCAACATGAAATTGGCCATCATGAGGCCACATGTGATTACTGATCGCTCTTGTTTTTATTCATAACAAAAATACTTCAGTTTATTATACAATTGTATACATGTATTGTTGGGTTAAAATTGCACAACTGTGCAGCCTGGATGAACTTTGTTATTTTATCCAGGTAATTAGTTCTGTTTTAACAGGCAGATGCCTAGCTCAATAAGGAGAACATCAGAATTGTAATACAAGTGTTGTTGGTTCGGCCCTAAGGACATGGCAAAATTTCTTCATTGCACATTAAGTGTTTTGTCATGATTTCTACTGCAAGACTAATGCAGTGAGGGGTATTTTTGCATATGTTGACCTCTTTTTGGTACTTCACGTGGATTTTAAGTGCCATTTGCAATATGTAAATAAATTTCTTTGTTCACTTTACAGTGTTTTATTTTTTAATACATTTTCAAAAATTTTGTGAAAATTATTATGAATCTGGAAGCATGCTGCTTTGAGGGTGAAATTGTAAAATTGCATGAATTTACAGTCTGACATGGATGTATTCTTGTGGCATAGATAAATCTTTTTTACTGCTAGTATTCAAAGTATTATTATGATCAAAAATAATAAAAGCTTGAAAAATTTAGCAAGTTATATAAATACATACAAGTACAACAGATTGCATTATGTAATTACAGGTGATATTGAAATTGAATGAGTCACAACTTCCTGAGACATCTCAACTTACACAGTATCATATAAAGTAAGAAAATTTCTTTTTATATAAACCGAGCGAGTGAATCTATATTCTTTGTCAGTTTTATTGATACAAATGTATTTAGTTTGATTATTTTGGAAGCTATAAGCTTATTGAAAGACTCTTGAATCAGTTTCTGGAATCAACCAGTACTAAGCAATGAATGTAAAATTTCTTCCTCAAGGTAACGATGGTTGCCCCTGACTTGGTCTGAACTCACACGGCCAGCAATCCCTAGATAACTAGTCCTACCAGTTTACCACTCTGCCAAGCGGCCACTGTGTCTTGTTAATAACAATAAAGTCATGATCTATATCAGTCTGTTAGTTTGCCCAACTTATCCCTTACCATGTTAAATATCTGAATAGGACTTGTATATATTTAAACATATGAGCCGTGCCATGACAAAACTAACATAATGGGTTTGCGACCAGCATGGATCCAGACCAGCCTGCGCCTCCACGCAGTCTGATCAGGATCCATACTGTTCGCTATCAGTTTCTCTACTTGTAATAGGGTTTGTAAGCGAACAGCATGGATCCTGATCAGACTGTGTGGATGTGCAGGCTGGTCTGTATCCATGCTGGTCGCAAACCCATTATGTTGGTTTTGTCATGACACGGCTCAGATGCTGTTGCTATGTCTGTTTTTAGGTGCAGTGAAGAGGACAAATTTGCTTTGATTTACGCATTGCTCAAATTGCGACTTGTGAGGGGAAAAACTATTTTATTTGTGAATAATGTAGATAGATGTTACAAGTGAGTACAAGTTTGTGTGGCTCACCATTATAGTTGCTATCTCTATAAAGGGAGATAATATCTTAAGTTAAAAAGGAGATAATTTCTAAAGTTAAATGATATGAGTAATTTTTTTTTCAATGATCTTTAGTCGTTTTGTAAAAAGTCAATAAATTATACAACTTCAAAACTTTTTTTTAAATCATTCTGTTAGATAGTTCAGCTTTGATAATGAAATGCAAACAAACTCTATGAAATAACTTTTACCTCTAAAATTTTAGTCTTTGAGAATGTTCAAGAATATATTGGTTTTAAGTTTTTGATTTAATCTTGATCCAAAGAAAGCTTTTTAGGTTATGTTTTGTACTGGTAAGTTTGACCCATAAAACCAATTACGTTTAAGTATTGTTTAAAGAAATAATCTTGATGCCACTAGGGCTCTAACCCAGAAACTTCTGTTTTTAAAACTGACAACTGTACCATTAGTCACTTGCTCAATCTCTATTCATTGTTTAAAGCTGCATGCCTCAAGATGAGCCAAAAGATTTTAAGTAAAGTAAAATGATTCCAGTTAATATAATTTACATGTGATATGTGATAAATTACCGATTTTGCAGACATATCACCATAATTTTACTGCGAATGGGCTACTTTTTCCATTGTGACCCCTTTTCCGCAAAAATACAATGGACTTTAAGTGCTGTTTGCTATGTATAAATTTCTTTCTTTGTTTCCCTCACAATATTTTACCTGTAAGTACATTTTTAAAAAATTTCATGAAAATTAGCATAAATTTGGAGGCATGCAGCTTTAAAGTGAGAAACAATTATTTTGAAGTTTGACCATTTTTGGCCGGGTTGCACTGGTGCAAACCCGGGTTATAGTATGGTGAATGTTGGGCGGAGGCGGGCGTCCGGGCGGGCGGGCGGGCGTCCGGGCGGGCGGGCGGGGAAAAACTTTCGTAACAGTTATCTCAGCAACTACTTATCACAGCCTCTTGATATGTGGCATACAGCATTGACACATGGTCCCATACTGTGGGATTTGATTTCAGGTCTGTCGCTCATCCACTTCCTGTTTATCCACTTAGTTAAATTAGTTAGATTTTTCGACATTAATGGTCAATGGTAGGAAATTTTCGTAACAGTTTTCTCAGCAACTACTTATCACAGCCTCTTGATATTTAGCATACAGCATTGACACATGGTCCCATACCGTGGGATTTGATTTCAGGTCTGTCGCTCATCCACTTCCTGTTTATCCACTTAGTTAAATTAGTTAGATTTTTCGACATTAATGGTCAATGGTAGGAAATTTTCGTAACAGTTTTCTCAGCAACTACTTATCACAGCCTCTTGATATTTAGCATACAGCATTGACACATGGTCCCATACCGTGGGATTTGATTTCAGGTCTGTCGCTCATCCACTTCCTGTTTATCCACTTAGTTATACCCCCGCACAACAAAGTTGTAAGGGGGGTATACTGGAATCAGCTTGTCCGTCCGGCTGTCCGGCCGTCCGGCGGTTTTTTCTTGTCCGCCCAATAACTTAAGATCTTTGACCATTAGTCTTCATATTTGGCATGGAGGTTAGTCATGATTAGTAGATGACCCCTATTGATTTTGAGGTCACTAGGTCAAAGGTCAAGGTCACAGGGGCCTTGACTTCAAAAAGCTTGTCCGCCCAATAACTTAAGATTCCTTTGACCTACAGTCTTCATATTTGGCATGGAGGTTAGTCATGATTAGTAGATGACCCCTATTGATTTTGAGGTCACCAGGTCAAAGGTCAAGGTCACAGGGGCCTTGACTTCAAAAAGCTTGTCCGCCCAATAACTTAAGATTCCTATGACCCATAGTCTTCATATTTGGCATGGAGCTTAGTCATGATTAGTAGATGACCCCTATTGATTTTGAGGTCATCAGGTCAAAGGTCAAGGTCACAGGGGCCTTGACTTCAAAAAGCTTGTCCGCCCAATAACTTAAGATTCCTTTGGCCCATAGTCTTCATATTTGGCATGGAGGTTAGTCATGATTTGTAATTTTGAGGTCATCAGGTCAAAGGTCAAGGTCACAGGGGCCTTGACTTCAAAAAGCTTGTCCGCCCAATAACTTAAGATTCCTTTGACCCATAGTCTTCATATTTGGCATGGAGGTTAGTCATGATTTGTAGATGACCCCTATTAATTTTGAGGTCATCAGGTCAAAGGTCAAGGTCACAGGGGCCTTGACTTCAAAAAGCTTGTCCGCCCAATAACTTAAGATTCCTTTGACCCATAGTCTTCATATTTGCCATTGAGGTTAGTCATGATTAGTAGATGACCCCTATTGACTTTGAGGTCACCAGGTCAAAGGTCACATGGGCCTTGACTTCAAAAAGCTTGTCCGCCAAATAACTTAAGATTCCTTTGACCCACAGTCTTCATATTTGGCATGGAGGTTAGTCATGATTAGTAGATGGCCCCTATTGAATTTGAGGTCACCAGATCAAAGGTCAAGGTCACAGGGGCCTTGACTTCAAAAAGCTTGTCCGCCCTATAACTTAAGATTCCTTTGACCCACAGTCTTCATGTTTGGCATGGAGGTTAGTCATGATTAGTAGATGACCCCTATTGATTTTGAGGTCACCAGGTCAAAGGTCAAGGTCATAGGGACTTTGACTTCAAAAAGTTTGTCTGCCCAATAACTTAATATTCCTTTGACCCACAGTCTTCATATTTGGCATGGATGTTGATCATGATAAGTAGATGACCCCTTGTGATTTTGAGGTCACTGGATCAAAGGTCAAGGTCATAGGGACTTTGACTTCAAAAAAGTTTGTCCACCCATTTACTTAAGATTCCTTTGACCCACAGTCTTCATATTTGGCATGGATGTTGATCATGACTATAAGGTGACCCATATTTACTTTGAGGTCACTGGGTCAAAGGTCAAGGTCACAGGGACCTTGACAAAAAAAAGCTTTTCTTCTCAATTGCTAAAGAATGTCCTGTCCGCAATGTATTGATTTTGACATTTTCACATTTGAAGCTTGTAGAATACATAACTTAGCAATGCACTGACTTAGTAACCTCAGATTTGGCAGGGAGGTTGTCCTTGAGCTCTAAATGGCCACTGTTGATTCTGACAAAGTGGTATGCGGGGGTATTCACGCGAAGGTAGTGGCAGTTCTAGTTAAATTAGTTAGATTTTTCGACATTAATGGTCAATGGTAGGAAATTTTTGTAACAGTTTTCTCAGCAACTACTTATCACAGCCTTTTGATATTTAGCATACAGCATTGACACATGGCCCCATACCGACGAATTTGATTTCAGGTCTGTCGCTCATCCACTTCCTGTTTATCCACTTAGTTAAATTAGTTAGATTTTTCGACATTAATGGTCAATGGTAGGAAATTTTCGTAACAGTTTTCACAGCAACTACTTATCACAGCTTCTTGATATTTGGCATACAGCATTGACACATGGTCCCATACCGTGGGATTTGATTTCAGGTCTGTCGCTCATCCACTTCCTGTTTATCCACTTAGTTAAATTAGTTAGATTTTTCAACATTAATGGTCAATGGTAGGAAATTTTCGTAAGAGTTTTCTCAGCAACTACTTATCACAGCCTCTTGATATTTAGCATACAGCATTGACACATGGTCCCATACTGTGGGATTTGATTTCAGGTCTGTCGCTCATCCACTTCCTGTTTATCCACTTAGTTAAATTAGTTAGATTTTTCGACATTAATGGTCAATGGTAGGAAATTTTCGTAACAGTTTTCTCAGCAACTACTTATCACAGCCTCTTGATATTTAGCATACAGCATTGACACATGGTCCCATACCGTGGGATTTGATTTCAGGTCTGTCGCTCATCCACTTCCTGTTTTATCCACTTAGTTATACCCCCGCACAACAAAGTTGTAAGGGGGGTATACTGGAATCAGCTTGTCCGTCCGGCTGTCCGGCCGTCCGGCGGTTTTTTCTTGTCCGCCCAATAACTTAAGATCTTTGACCATTAGTCTTCATATTTGGCATGGAGGTTAGTCATGATTAGTAGATGACCCCTATTGATTTTGAGGTCACTAGGTCAAAGGTCAAGGTCACAGGGGCCTTGACTTCAAAAAGCTTGTCCGCCCAATAACTTAAGATTCCTTTGACCTACAGTCTTCATATTTGGCATGGAGGTTAGTCATGATTAGTAGATGACCCCTATTGATTTTGAGGTCACCAGGTCAAAGGTCAAGGTCACAGGGGCCTTGACTTCAAAAAAGCTTGTCCGCCCAATAACTTAAGATTCCTATGACCCATAGTCTTCATATTTGGCATGGAGGTTAGTCATGATTAGTAGATGACCCCTATTGATTTTGAGGTCATCAGGTCAAAGGTCAAGGTCACAGGGGCCTTGACTTCAAAAAGCTTGTCCGCCCAATAACTTAAGATTCCTTTGACCCATAGTCTTCATATTTGGCATGGAGGTTAGTCATGATTTGTAATTTTGAGGTCATCAGGTCAAAGGTCAAGGTCACAGGGGCCTTGACTTCAAAAAGCTTGTCCGCCCAATAACTTAAGATTCCTTTGACCCATAGTCTTCATATTTGGCATGGAGGTTAGTCATGATTTGTAGATGACCCCTATTAATTTTGAGGTCATCAGGTCAAAGGTCAAGGTCACAGGGGCCTTGACTTCAAAAAGCTTGTCCGCCCAATAACTTAAGATTCCTTTGACCCATAGTCTTCATATTTGCCATTGAGGTTAGTCATGATTAGTAGATGACCCCTATTGACTTTGAGGTCACCAGGTCAAAGGTCACATGGGCCTTGACTTCAAAAAGCTTGTCCGCCAAATAACTTAAGATTCCTTTGACCCACAGTCTTCATATTTGGCATGGAGGTTAGTCATGATTAGTAGATGGCCCCTATTGAATTTGAGGTCACCAGATCAAAGGTCAAGGTCACAGGGGCCTTGACTTCAAAAAGCTTGTCCGCCCTATAACTTAAGATTCCTTTGACCCACAGTCTTCATGTTTGGCATGGAGGTTAGTCATGATTAGTAGATGACCCCTATTGATTTTGAGGTCACCAGGTCAAAGGTCAAGGTCATAGGGACTTTGACTTCAAAAAGTTTGTCTGCCCAATAACTTAATATTCCTTTGACCCACAGTCTTCATATTTGGCATGGATGTTGATCATGATAAGTAGATGACCCCTTGTGATTTTGAGGTCACTGGATCAAAGGTCAAGGTCATAGGGACTTTGACTTCAAAAAGTTTGTCCACCCATTTACTTAAGATTCCTTTGACCCACAGTCTACATATTTGGCATGGATGTTGATCATGACTATAAGGTGACCCATATTTACTTTGAGGTCACTGGGTCAAAGGTCAAGGTCACAGGGACCTTGACAAAAAAAAGCTTTTCTTCTCAATTGCTAAAGAATGTCCTGTCCGCAATGTATTGATTTTGACATTTTCACATTTGAAGCTTGTAGAATACATAACTTAGCAATGCACTGGCTTAGTAACCTCAGATTTGGCAGGGAGGTTGTCCTTGAGCTCTAAATGGCCACTGTTGATTCTGACAAAGTGGTATGCGGGGGTATTCACGCGTAGGTAGTGGCAGTTCTAGTTAAATTAGTTAGATTTTTCGACATTAATGGTCAATGGTAGGAAATTTTTGTAACAGTTTTCTCAGCAACTACTTATCACAGCCTCTTGATATTTAGCATACAGCATTGACACATGGCCCCATACCGACGGATTTGATTTCAGGTCTGTCGCTCATCCACTTCCTGTTTATCCACTTAGTTAAATTAGTTAGATTTTTCGACATTAATGGTCAATGGTAGGAAATTTTCGTAACAGTTTTCACAGCAACTACTTATCACAGCCTCTTGATATTTGGCATACAGCATTGACACATGGTCCCATACAGTGGGATTTGATTTCAGGTCTGTCGCTCATCCACTTCCTGTTTATCCACTTAGTTAAATTAGTTAGATTTTTCAACATTAATGGTCAATGGTAGGAAATTTTCGTAACAGTTTTCTCAGCAACTACTTATCACAGCCTCTTGATATTTAGCATACAGCATTGACACATGGTCCCATACTGTGGGATTTGATTTCAGGTCTGTCGCTCATCCACTTCCTGTTTATCCACTTAGTTAAATTAGTTAGATTTTTCGACATTAATGGTCAATGGTAGGAAATTTTCGTAACAGTTTTCTCAGCAACTACTTATCACAGCCTCTTGATATTTGGCATACAGCATTGACACATGGTCCCATACTGTGGGATTTGATTTCAGGTCTGTCGCTCATCCTTTTCCTGTTTATCCACTTAGTTAAATTAGTTAGATTTTTCGACATTAATGGTCAATGGTAGGAAATTTTCGTAACAGTTTTCTCAGCAACTACTTATCACAGCCTCTTGATATTTAGCATACAGCATTGACACATGGTCCCATACCGTGGGATTTGATTTCAGGTCTGTCACTCATCTACTTCCTGTTTATCCACTTAGTTAAATTAGTTAGATTTTTCAACATTAATGGTCAATGGTAGGAAATTTTCGTAACAGTTTTCTCAGCAACTACTTATCACAGCCTCTTGATATTTGGCATACAGCATTGACACATGGTCCCATACTGTGGGATTTGATTTCAGGTCTGTCGCTCATCCACTTCCTGTTTATCCACTTAGTTAAATTAGTTAGATTTTTCGACATTAATGGTCAATGGTAGGAAATTTTCGTAACAGTTTTCACAGCAACTACTTATCACAGCCTCTTGATATTTAGCATACAGCATTGACACATGGTCCAATACTGTGGGATTCGATTTCAAGTCTGCAGCTCATCCACTTCCTGTTCACATTTATGGTCAATGGTAGGAAATTTTTGTAACATTTTTCTCAGAAACTACTAATCACAGACTCTTGATATTTGGCATACAGCATTGACACATGGTCCCATACTGTGGGATTCGATTTTAGGTTTGTAGCTCATCCACTTCCTGTATACCCTACTGAATTAAATTTTCGACATTAACGGTCAATGAAAATTTTTTTTCGTAACATCACAGCCTCATGATATTTGGTGTACAAATGCAACCCGGCCTTTTCTGTCTTTGACCCATTTTTACAATAATATTTCTTTATTATCATTTATTATACTAATCCCCAATACTGGTAGTTCCATTTTAAAATAAATTTTTTCCACACAGGTTACGTCTTTTCCTTGAACAGTTTGGAATTCCAGCTTGTGTTTTGAACTCTGAACTCCCTGTAAATTCAAGGTATGTTTATAATTTGTTATGCTTTAAAAAATTATTATTTATAATAAGAAATCCATGAAAAAACAAATATTTGTTCAATATATTGTTATATGTGTTTTTACTAGTCAGATCTATCACCTACAATAGCAAATCTTGAACATTATTTTTTTGTCATTTGATGATGAGTAGGTGGTATTTGTGAATGTGTTTTTTAAAAAAACCTGTACAAGCTGTTTAATATTGATTGATAAAAACAAGGCCATTTACTTCCTGGATACATGGAAACAGCCATTTTTTCCAGTAATAATTAAACAAGAAAATTTCATAGCAAAAAAAATCAATTTCGTAAATGGAATGTTAATTTCTTCCTTAATTCATGAAAATGTTACACGTACATGATATAAATACATGAAATAAATGTAGCATGAAAACCTTGTGTCTGTTTAAATAGTTGTTTACTTATTTATTATTAATATATTACTTATTTATTACTAATTTGTGTATTACAAATTACAGATGTCATATTGTGGGACAGTTTAACGATGGCCTGTACGATTACATTATAGCAAGTGACGAGAACTTGTTGGTCAATCCACAGGACAGACCAGTAGATCCAAGCAAACAGAAAAAGTATAGTCTATAAATCTATTGTCATTTTGGTCATTATTTGCTCATTATTCGGTATGCGAATGCGAAGGCTGGTCTGGATCCATGCTGGTCGCAACCCCATTATGTTGGTTTTGTCGTGACGCGGCTCATTTATAGATTTTAGGGACTTTGGATTGTTTCATGTGAGGAAGCTATCCAGCTAGCTTACAGAACATCGGTGGTTCTACTCAGGTGCCCTTTCATGCCTGAACTTATGCACAGAAGGGCACCTGAGGTCTTCCTCCACCAGTAGAGCTGGAACATCGCCATATGACCTATACTTAGTCGGTGTGACATAAAACCGAAACAAAACAAACTTTTCGGCATCAGTTTGTTTCCAATATACATATTGCACTTAGTTTTGGGACTTTCAAATCAACCTGTCAACAGTTCAAAGTAAATTCTTACTGCACTGATATGTTGACTGACCTTGCTCTGGTTAATGCCCACCATTATCACCGCTAACATTTAGAAAATTATCAAAGAACTGGTGTGTCCCCATTAAGACAGACAGCTTTTGACCTTTTATGGGATATTTAGGTCAGTATCAAAATGACATTTAATCAGATATGATTTCCATATATCTCTAAATAACTGGGAAGAAAGTGATTCCTTGGAAGCTTTAAAAAAAACAGCAAAACTACATCAAAATTGCAGACTCAGTATGCAATATATAATGGTGTTATTCGATCACATGCGCTTTCACCAAAAAAAAGGATAGTAATTTTGCATACATACTATGAATGAAATACAGTGACATAATTCTTATGATTTAAATTGTTTTTTGTCTGCATTATGTCCTTGAAAAGACCTTGTTCTGTTGACAACATACATGCTTATCATATGATACCATATTATATCCATATTATATCATATTTTACTGCATATTTAATTGTTTCATGCCAAGTTTTTTATGGCCCTATTTGTGAAGATATTTAAATGCTTGAAGAATTTTCTGGAGAATAATAAGGTCATAAGTGTTTAGGTTTTATTTTCATAATAACAAAGTGTTAAAAAAACATGGCTAGCATTACTATAGAGTAAGATACATGTAGAGAGGTAGGAACATATTAGTTTTCTAATTGAGCTCGGCATGGCGCTCAGAATTAGCTTGCTTACAAGTATTAGTACACGCCTTTTTTAATAGTCGGAATAATTGCAAAACAAAACTTGTGTTAATTATTTTCAAAAAATGAGCTTATTAAAAGTAATGGAGAAATTAAAATGAAATTGAAAAGGTAAAATTGATTTATTTTGCAAATTTAGTAAATAACAGAATAAATGTCATCTAAGTAACATCATAAAGATATTACAAAGAATGAATAAGTTATAGCAAAGAATGCGTAAATTTCTGCAAAGAATTAGATATAGCAAAGAAAAAGCAAAAGGCAATGACAGTGTTTTTTTTCACTTTTGGGGGAAGGGGGTCGGTGCCCATTGGAGGGGGAAAAATGCAATAGGAGGGGGATTTTTATACGGGTCTAAAATATTGATGTGTCACATGATAAATTTGTTGGGATACCAGGAGTAGCTCCCCTTACCTATATGAAAAACCTTGCTTAACAGTAAGTCTTACAGGCATAAAATAAAGCATTTTTCGGCAGTTAGTTGCAAAAAAATGATATTTATTGCAGGCAGATTTGGGCTGCCATATTATAGGGGGAAATTTCAGCTTTGAGGGGGGAAAAAAACATACTATTTTAAGGGGGGAATAGGGAGAATTTCGCCGAATATTTTGGTGATAAAAAACACTGAATGATGTGTAGCAAAGAATAAATTAAATATCAAAATGAATCAGTTGGCATTAGCAAGGAATCAATTAAATAATAGCATGCTAGCCCATATAGCTCATTTGAGGATTCCCTGGCTGGCCAATTAAAATTACTAAAATAGTGTTTCGGATGAGACCTTAAATCGAGGTCCCGTGTATCTTAAACACTTGGTATGCTAAAGAGCCAGGAGAAGCTTCTGGAATTAGGGCATCTCTTTGTATCTGTATCTTGCATTATCCTCCAAAATCTAAAATGACAAATACTCACCCATATGGGCAACCGGTGGCGAGTATAAATAAACTGGAATACACTCATTAAATATAGAAAAGAATTAGCTAAATATAGCAAAATTCACTTAAATATAACAAGGAATCAAATAAACGAGCAAAGAATGCTTAAGTTTTAGAAATGAATTAGAAACAGCAAAGAATCAATTGCATAAAGCAAAATAAGCTAATATTCAATTACAAGAAGATATTACAAAACCAATTATTCAATGAGATTATGTAAAGAATCAACTGTATGTAGCAGTGATGTGTTAAAAGTAGCTAGTTAAAAGAATCATTTAAATCTTGGATAAGCAAAATGTTGATAATATTGAAGTAGTTGTAGCATAAGCCATTAAATCAATAAAGCAAGAAATCAGTTCAGATGAGCCAAAGAATCAGATGTATATAGCAAAGAATCAATTAGTTTTACATGATATGTAGCTAAAAAATCATCTAAATATACATTGAAAGCAAAATAAAAGATAGGTCTTTGAAAAAATATTCATTTGAAACCAATATGTGGATTACATAATTCCTTTTGGGGTGTTGTGGACGATTGGATAAAGTTGTTCACTTTAGACCACTATCTCTTCACTGCTGTGGGTTAGAATCCCGACGAGGATTTTGGATTCTTTCATGATTGTGAGGAAATTATCCAACTAGCTTACGGAATGTCGGTGGTTCCGCTTGGGTGCCTGTTTGTGCCTGACATAATACACAGATAAGCACCTGAGGTCTTTCTCCACAAGTATCACTAGAAGGCGCCATATGACCTATATTGTGCTGGTGCTACGTAAAGCCCGACCAAATAAAAAACAAGTCGTAATTCATTTTGATTGGAAGGGGGTGGTAGTTTTAATAGCCATAACACACACGCACAAATTAAGATATTTAAGCAAGGTTTGTCCCTATTGTTTTTATCGCAGTAATGGAAAAAAGTCATAAAATTTCCAGAAAATATCGAATTTATCAATTAAACGAGAACATTGATTTCCAGACAAATTGCAGTCATGTGAAGGTGTATAAATTATACTGAGATCAAATTTGTTTAAATGCGTGACAATTTTAGAGAATTGAATCCATGTTTTTACAAAATATAATTGAGTTTTTTAAGAACAATAGAATAACAGGGATGGAATGTTTGTTAGAATATGATGTTGTTAGAATATGATAACTTGAAAACAGTAAATGATCCATTGTTTTTTAGTTAAATTTTGACCATTTCAGGTATGTTTTTAGCAAAAAACAAATGTAACTTGAGTTTTTCTCATTCAACCTA